AATTTCGATGACACTTTTCACGGAGTGGAAACTATGTAACGCGCTAGAATAAATTCAGTTTTGTACGAGACACAACCAAACGCGCACGTTTCGCTAAGAGCTTGTACCTCATCAACGAAAATCTCACAATATGGACATAGTCGTCGACATACAAGGTTTCCGCGATGAAGCCAATAAATTTATCGCGAAGGAAGTCGCCGTTGTCGCGATCGATACTCCGATTGTCGAGCACTGGATTATGATGCCACCATACGCGTTTGGAAAATTACCCGCAAAAGCAAGACGAGAAAACAATTGGCTCTCACGAAATTATCACGGCATCGAGTGGTTCGACGGCTCAGTTAATCCGAAATATTTTACCTCGTATCTCCGCGAAATTGCAAGACACGCGCGCTGCATTTACGTCAGAGGTAACGAAAAAGCAAACTACTTGAGGAATTTACTTTCCAGAGATATAAATAATTTGGAGGGTACCTCACCAGCATTTAAAAATCTACCGGATGAGGAGGATATCGTACAATATTGCGGTCATCACGGGATTCGAAAATTTGGAACCTTTCATTGCGCGTTATACAATGCTTATAAATTAAAATGCTGGCTAAGTGCGCAAAATAATTGCGAGAACGTTTCAACCTCTACTGAAGCTACTTGTAGTTCTGACGAAAGTTGGGAAATTACTTTCGACGATAGCGACGATAAATACGAAACCGCCGTTTCTTGCGATGTAAATGAGAATATAACTAAAATACAAATAGAGGAAAAAAATCAGCAAAGCAACGAACAGCAGATTGAAAAAGAAGAAGAAGAGAGATTTGTGATTTCTGAATCGTCATCGACGTTGACGGACAAGAACGAAACAATTTCCATCTCGACGCAAACTGACATTGAAAACCTCTCAAAACAACTCAAGATAGAAGAAGACGCATTATCGAAAGAGGTAAAAACCGGTATTGTTCAAATAATACCGTACACTCGTTCGTATTCGGGACAAAAAAAAAATGAACTCTCGCGAAATTCTACAAGCATTGCATCATCTCGATGCCAGACATGTTGGAGTCTATGCAGCCGACAGAGTTCCGAGGGTGTGGACGAGGTCGACGGCTATCGTCGCTAACACCGACAATCACGATCGACCTGGAGAACATTGGATCGCCTTCTACCTCGATGAACACGGTACAGCCACTTATTTCGACAGCTACGGATTGCCCCCCTTGTATCCAGGATTTCTCATCCGACTTCGACGAAACTCCATCATCCATCGTTGGAATATTCAACAATTACAAGGAATTTTTTCTAAGACTTGCGGACAATACTGCTGTGTATTTTTATATTATATGTGCAGCGGTTATAATCTTAATCAGTTTCTCGCTCTTTTTTCCGAAGATTGTGAATATAACGATCGTTTAATCATACACTTATTTCGTAAAATTTTTACTCACAAAAAATAAGCGAATTATAACAATATATAATATGAATTTTAGTATGAATAAATAAATTTTGTTCTGTAAAAATATTTTAAATATAATCCATATTTGTACTTTTAAAACTATTGTTCAATTTTCTTTCACTTCCTCTTTCCAGAAATTTCCTCCACATGCATGTTCCTGTTTACCTTCATTAAGCAGCGAGTTATTTTAAAATAAAATTTTATCTGACATCTTTCTAATCTACGACGATGTATTATTATTTTTTATCGTGACGCGAGTCGGAATGCTCGCCTGTACAAATATTTGCGTGTTCTTTTTTATTACCCTACGCCATTGTCAGCTACTACCTGCCACCGGTCGACCGCACGACGCTTTTCTTGGCCAAAATGTTTTTACCCCACCCCGTCTAATATCGACCATTTGATTCGACGAGCTATCCTTGCCATACGTATACCCGAACTGTTTTTACCCCACCCCCGTCCAATATCGACCATTTGATTCGACGAGCTATCCTTGCCATACGTATACCCGAACCCCCATGCCGTACTCTACGCAACTTTAGCTTAAATACCACATCTAATCCTTAGACTAGTAAGATCTCGTTTAGCTCAACATACTAGGACCCTGCTCGGAAACACGGAGGTCCCGGGTTCAAATCCAGAGAAAATCAGAAAAAATAAAAAATAAAAATTCTCATCCCCACCTTTCGGGGCCAGTCGCCATTTTTTTTCCCCCAACACCCTTTCCCCCTAACACCCACACTCGGAAAAGCCAGACGCCGGTGGTGGGGGAAAGATAAGATAAGACCCGGCGCCAGACGGGTCGGTGGTGGGGGTTTGTTTTGACGGGCCATACCTGCCATTATACTACTACTACTACTATTACTACTACTACTACTACTACTACTACTACTACTACTACTACTACTACTACTATTAACTATTATTATTATTAACTATTATTAGTTAAATTTTAACTATTACATTAAAAAAAATTTTTTTTTAATACATATCATGCAAATTACACACATACACTGTTTATACCATTGATAAAACCAAACATAAAAGAACTTGCAGAACATTTTGGACACTCTATATAGTACATATTTGTTATAAAATTTCTTTTTAATGTATTTCGTGCAAATTACACAAGTATGTTGTTTATAAAACCAAACATAAAATAAAAACAAACACTATGCATGACGAGAGGCTGATGAACTCTCTCGTGATCGGGAGAGAGCGATCTAATGATAGATTACACACCGTCGCGACGTGTTCTTGAACCTGACACCGTAATAATAATAGAATTAATGTTGTAACAACTGTCGCGCGGTTAATGCGATAAACAGAGGAAGTTACGCGCCCACCCTATGGAAGGGAATGGGATGACCGATGACCAAAGGCGCGCGATTATCTGCACAGGCGACCTTCTATCGATGCGTGAGAGTGATAAATGATTTTCTGCCAGACGAGTACATCGATCCCTTGAGAGATGCTCTCTCTCTCGTGTCTTTTTTCCTGCAATTTTTTTATATAGTTAGATATTTTATTATTGTATTATATTATCTGCATTAATTTTAATCTTCAATTAGCTCGAGGAAGATTTATTCGTTTCTTTTTTATTTGTCATTACATTTTTCACATTTTATTGCAGTTTCATAATTTTCATAAAAGTTATATTATTATTATTATTTTATTATATAAATTAGTTTGTAAAATAATATAATAACGCTAATAATAAATAATAAATAATATAAAATATATATTATTTTATAAAAATATATAATATATTATACATACTTTATAATATATAATAATATTATTGACAATATAATGACGATTAAGTTTAATGAATTATTAGATATTATACTTTTTATCAATTTTTAAATCAAATCTATGGTAAAATTGCCAAGGCACGTTTTTTTAGTTACAAATTATTAAAATAAAAGAACTATTGTAAGGCAAACTAACAATAAGTTTTAAGTGAGTCCTTGAGAAGTCTGTGATTTCCGTCCTGTTTTATCAATAAAATATAAGATTAGATAAACTATAAATCTATTTAATGGCTTTACGGATTGTTTTTTACATGAAATTAGAACGCTTCGTCCTTTGTTAATATTAATACTTTAATTTGTACAAGAAAAAGATTTATCAATCTGTATAGTTTCATATATCTTGGTTACAGAATTATGAATGTTTAGAATTTATAATTCTGCAAGCACGATATATGAGACCTACACAGATTGATAAATCTTTTTCCTGTACAAATTAAAGTATTAATATTAACATAGGGCGAAGCGTTCTAATTTCAGGTAAAAAACAATCCGTATAACCAATAATAAATAGATTTATAGTTTATCTAACCTCATATTTTGTCAATAAAACAGGAAAAAACTTATTAGGTTAGCTTAAAATTCTCTTAAATATCAAAGTAAAGAAATATTTAAATATTTAACAATTTATTTTAAATGGACTTTAATAGAATTTGAATTCGTGATCTGATAATATATAATTGCAAAATTATTTGAAATTTTTGTTGAAGAAATATCGATATAAAAATTCGTGAAAGCAAATTTTTAAAAGAAAATTATACGTTCAGTATTTTCTATATTTATATAATATTTGTAATAACATTATATATATGTAGGGTATTTATAAACAAGTACAAAAAAATTGTAGATTATTCTTTGTCGAAAATTAAGGAAGGTTTTTCAAATACTCGCCCTCTTCCCTGAGGAGTTACATTTTTTAAAGACGAAGATAAAAATTACAATTTACTTTTATTTATTGATTCAGATAGATAGATTTATTCTGGATCTCCCCTCAGAGTTGCCGGGGTGTTTTCAAGGGTGCGCCAAACTCTTTACAATCTCCTTTATTTATTTATCATAACTATTGATTTCACGAAAAAAATAAAACAGAAGTTTCTAAAGAAATCATGCAAGTTTTTTAACGCATATTTTTAGATGATTACATTCCAGTTAAACAGTTCTAATAAAAAATTCAATACGGGTCGTAATTTTCATTCCCTTATAACGATACGAGAAGATTAAAAAATGTAATAATTATTATCCTTTTTTTGTCAGTGGAAAATATCCACCAAATTTTATTATTTTTTTAAATTAATTTAATAAAAAAAAATTAAAAACCTAATTTTTACCTCCCCCTTTGAAGAAGTGTAATTCCTCAGGGAAAAATACATGGAAGATATATATATATTTTTTATGAAAATCCTCCCTTGTATATAATTTTCAACAAAAAATCATTTATTTAGAAATATTATTAGAAACATCCTGTATATATTTATATAATAAAGATTTTTAGAAATATGTTTCGTGTGTTTGTATATGTGCGCGCGCGCATTTATGTTTTGTATGTATACAGGGTGTCTCATTTTAATATCCCATCCTAAATAAATTTATTTTTGATTGCAGAAGAAAATGATTCAGATAAAAGTTGTACGGTTTCTAATTTCTTAAATGGAACCACCTATTTTTCATTGCATGTTCTTATAGCTTATCTCAAGAGTTTTCCAAAACCCTATAATAAAGTATTCAAGGTCAAATTAATAACATCTTATGCCCCTCTCGAAACCATACAACCTTCCTCTGAAACATTTTTATTCTTTTACAATAAAAATTAAAAGTTATTTGGAGTGGGTCATTAAAATGGGGACATCCTGTATAAAAGAAAAATTACGTAGATCCTGCGGTGAAGGCGCACGTCCGTCGCCTTCTCTCTCCCGGACAACCCTCAAACGACGAGGACACAGAATCCTCGAACGCTATCATGACGAATAACCCCAAGAACGTCGCAACTTCCGGCAACGTAGAGGGCAAGGAGTTCGGCAAAACGCCGGAAATGTCCGCGGATGCGTCGGTGCCACTGTCATCGACGAGAAGCAACGGGTCGTACAGCGACGCCTCTATCTCCTCGGAATTGGAGGCGCTTCTGCCGCCCGTGGACCACTTCAAGGAAGAGGAGAGAACCCAGTGGGAGCCCCTCTCCGCTGAGAAATTTCCTCGGCAAAAAAATACGCCTAGGTATCAATTTAGAATGATTATACACGCATTTTATTTTAAGGCGATCCTAACGTCCTTTTTATTGATAAATCATTTTTCTGCATCCTTTCTTTGCTGGTTGCATCGAATAATAAATGTTTTTCCACGATTACAATACATATAGAATAACAAAGCACCTACTAATTTTATGTTAAAAACAAAAAAAATTTTAATTTAAAAAATTTAAAAATTTGTTGAGTATAATAACTAGTTAATTAGTTAAAAGTAAAAAAAAAACAGTTAAAAAGTTAATAACTTTTAACTTAGCTTAGTTAATTTAACATGTATTAATTTTTAATTTTAATTAGTTATTTTTTATTTTAAATTAATTAACTTTTTTCTTAAGTTAATTTTTTTTATCTCTGAATATTATTATTGCTTTTATAAATTATAAAGGTATTATTTTTAAATTAAAGGTATTAGTTTTAAAAAATTATTAACTTACCCAACCCTGACCAAAATGATGTTTTATCGATAAAACAGGATGGCGTTTAAGGCTGCAGCCATGTTAGATTGTGACGTCAGAGGTGAGAAAATGCACGTTGAAAAATTTTCGCGTGTCGTTTTTAGATAAAAAGCTATTTCGATGAAAAATTACTTCAAACTGTTTCAGCGCACTTTTAAAATAGTCCGATGACTATCTTTTTCTTTTATAATCAATCAACAGCTGTAAAATGACTATATAATATGAGATTCAATCCGTCTGGTCTTTGGACATGCGCAGTCATTCTGCGTGATAAAGTCTGGATGTTTCAATTGTTTTGCGTTGTTGATTGACTGTCAAGGAAAAATAGTTTTTCTGAGTATTTTGAAAGTGTGCTAAAACCACCTAAAGTTGTGTTTCATCAAAATATCTTATTATCTAAAAATGGCACGCAAGAATTTTCAGCCTATGTTTTCTCGCCTGTGACGTCATAATTCCAACATGGTCGGCGAGGAACCAGGAGTCATAAGTGAAGTTGAGAGAAAGAAAAGAATCATTCAAAAATAAAAGAAACACCCCATATATTTATATATGGAATCAAAGAAGTCTCGATTGTACTGATTATATCGTGTAATAAAACGTTATCATTATCCGTTTATCAGGTTCGAAGCATACATGATGACCGGCGACCTAATGTTGAACCTCTCGCGCACGCAACAGAGCAGTAATCTCCTACCCAAGCAGCATCAGCAGCGCAAGATCGACTCCCTTAGGTACAACCAACCCAGTCACCAGCACGCCACCACCACCACCGTCACCACCACCAGCATTCATCACAATCACAATCACCATCACCATCACCACCATCACAACTCGGTACCCAGCAGTCCCAACGAGACTCAGCTGGCCTATCAGTATCACCATCACCATCGGGGAGGTGCTTACAAGGCTTCCAGTTCGGCTAGCACGTCACCCGTGAGCGCTGCCAGGCGCGACGGGATGCAGAGCACCTCGGGAGCCCTGGTCCAGGTAGATCCCAGCAAGAGCACCCCCTCGAGCTTCGGTTTCGTCCGCACTTCGCGATCGGAGGATCATCTACAGTTCCAGAAGGACCCCTCGATGAGTGCCGTGGACATCGACATCGACGACGATGTCACCTCGAGCCTGAACACTCTGTTGGACCCGCGACCAGAAGGCCTGATGCCGAACGAACGTATCGTCTGGACGTACAACGCGCCCGTCAGCTCACCGGCCGCCTCCTGTTGCCAGAACGGCGGTTCTTCATCCTCGTCCTCCTCCTCCTCGTCCTCCTCGACGAGTCCTCAGCGTTCTCTATCTCCCGCCTCTCCCACCTCCGTCTCGTCCTCCGTCATGTCCTCCAACTCTGGCTCCCGCAGGTTTCCGCTGGTGCAAACGATCCCCGGGATCTCCGGCGTCCCGGGAGCTCATCTTCCCGCTAACGGCGATCTCAGTCAATCGGAGGCCATCAGCAACATGTCCAGTCCGGATTACAATGACGAGGAGACGATGGATATTCTCAGCGCGAGGGACATTATGATGGTCAGCGACCCCAGCGACAGCGATTCCACCATCCTGGCGAGCGAACCACCCCAGAGGAGACTGAAGGCGAATCCTCAGGACGCTGGGGAACATAGGATAGTAATTCAGGTAAAGGGGCCCGATAAGGAAACTCCAAGGAACACGAGTCCCAGACAAGCCAGGAGAAGAGGGAACCCTGGGGACCTGGGACCGCCTATCACATCCCAAAACCTGCAAAGAAATCAATCGTCTGGAGTTCCTGGGATGCCTAACATCACTGCGGGATCTGTAGCACCCGAATGCGTAGGTTATCAGGTATATTATTTAGTGTATTGTAGGTATATTATTTATTTAGCGCAACTGTGTCTGTGTGTGTGTATAATATTTTATTATTAATCTATCATCGGAAATTTAGGAATTGAAGGAGTTCGAGGACGAGAAGGAGGTCCTAACCAGTGCACCCACGTGCGACGAACAGAAGGGACACGGAGGAGGCGCGTCGCCGCCGCAATCGGCTGATGAAGAGAGCGACATCGAGAGTCTGCATAGTTTTCATTACAGCCCGAAAGCGGTAGATCTACCCTCTGCTGTTCGACTAGCCAAACGCCTTTATTCTCTGGACGGCTTCAAGAAATCCGACGTCTCCAGGCATTTAAGCAAAAAGTAAGCTCATCATAAATTGCGATATAATAACAAACCAGCTGATCTTTCCAAGATTCATCAATTTCATCTATGATTTATACAGGTCCCGAATGTTCCAGCCAGATTTTAAGATCCTATAGGAAATTTAATTCTGAACAAAAAATTTCTTATAAACATGGGTCGAAAAATGCTTCCTTAAGAAGTTATTGCTCAAAACCTCTGATAAAGGAAGAACAAAAGGTGAAAAGAAAATGAAACTTAATCAATTTCTTGAAAAAAAAACGATAACAATAAAAAATAAAATTTTTTTCTTTATAAAAATAAAATAAATTTCTTAAACTAAAATAGTACGTAATAGTAAAAAATGAATAAAGACGTTATATCAAAATCTATGGAATGTACAACAATTATTTTGATTTCATTTGAAAGATAATTTAAATTTCTACAACTTGTTTCGAGACTTTTTGTTAAAAGACGCACATTTTCCATGTTATTTGGAAAAATGTGTAAAATAAGATTTCAGAGGTTTTTGAGCGATAACTTCTTAAAGAAGCATTTTTCGACCCATGTTTATACGAAATTTTTTGTTCAAAATTAAATATCCTATAAAATCTCAAAGTGGCTGGAACGTTCGGGGCCACCCTGTATAGAAATCCCGCACTAATCCTATATAAAATTGAATCTTGGTAAGATCAGTTGGTTTTCTCATATATTGTAATAATTTATGATCTGCTGAACAAAAATAGGTTCAAAGCTAAATAATAGAACCAGTCAAACATTATTATTGAATTAGTGGGGTCCTTCCAGAGGACCTTTCAATTTTGATACGTGATATTTTTTTCCTATTTTTGTAGCAACGATTTTAGCAGAGCTGTGGCAGAGGAGTATCTGCGCTATTTCAACTTTGAGAAGGATACGTTGGATGTAGCTCTCAGAAAGTTTCTCGCTCAATTCTCTCTGACGGGAGAAACCCAAGAAAGGGAGAGAGTCCTGGTACACTTTTCCAAGAGGTATCTGGACTGCAATCCCGGTAGTTTTAACTCTCAAGGTACAAATACGGTTTAAAATATTAAACATTATTAAATAATTAAATATATTATTACAATATATTATCTCTTGCATAAAAGAGAAAGAGAAGATATTAAATATTTATGGAGAAATATTAAATAATATGCTCTCTTAGTTTATAGATTATTGAATAATAATTATTAATTAAATAATATTTTTTTTTCACATCCTTTAGATTAAAATGATTAAATAATATTTGATATCTAGATGCGGTTCATACATTGACTTGCGCAATAATGCTGCTCAACACGGATCTGCATGGTCAAAATATCGGTCGAAAGATGTCTTGCTCGGAATTTATCGAGAACCTGTCGGAGCTCAATGACGGCGATAATTTTCCACGCGAGGTTCTTAAGCAGCTCTACAACGCTATCAAGTCCTTTCCTCTCGAATGGGCCCTGTAAGCGATTAAAAAGCGTATAAAATATTTTAAATATAATTTATTACACGATAAATTTGTCTCGTTTAAAATAATTATTAATTATTCGGCGCGATTAGGTTGCAAATAAATTCTCAATGGGATATTGAAGTAATATATTAAAATATATATTATAATATATACATAGAAATATTATTATACATATTATAAATGATTAAAAGATATTAAATATATAATTTAATTAAAAAGATAGAAATTATATTATAATATAAATTATTAAGAGGTATAAATATTATATGATTTAACATCCTTTTTCAAAAATAAACTTTGCTCTTCTCCATTGATTTAGGGACGAAGAGGGAGACGAAACGACGAATCAGATGATTCAGCAGGGCGATGGTACGACGGCGATCGCCGGTACCGGAAATCCGTTCCTCGATGTGCCAAATGTAACGGGTGCCACGGAATTCAAAAAGGGTTACGTTATGCGCAAATGTTGTTACGACTCCAACGGCAAGAAAAGTACATACGCATATTTTTCTTAAATTGTCTCCCATAACAAAATATTATCTAATAACAATATATTGTATAATAATCTTTATAGTATAATTATTTATATAATTATTTGTATAATTTTTTTATTCTGTATAATAATCTTTATTGTATAATTATTTATTTTGTATAATAATCTTTATTGTATGATTATTATACAATAATCTTGTACATTGTTTTTTACATTATAAAAAAATGTGTTTCAGCTCCATTTGGCAAACGAGGCTGGAAGATGTACTATTGTACACTGCGCGAGCTCGTGCTGTACTTACATAAAGACGAGCACGGCTTCCGTAACGACAGTTTGCACAACGCCATACGTATTCATCATGCGCTGGCTACCAAAGCGACCGACTACACGAAGAAGCAGCATGTCTTTCGATTGCAAACGGCCGATCAGGCCGAGTACCTTTTCCAGACGAGGTCAATACATGCTTTCTTGATTAAAAAAAAAAAATTTTACGCGTTAAAACTCTTGGGTCCTCGCCGCATATTAGATTGTGACGTCAAAGGCGAGAAAGCAAAAAACGCTGAAAATTCCTAGATGCCATGTTTAAATGAAAAGATGTTTCGATGAAACACTACTTCAACATGGTTGGTGAGGAACCAGGAGTCTCAATGCAAAAAATATTCATAGCTGAGAATTAAACGAAACTTTAAATTAAATTGAATTTTGATTATGTCAGAGATTAAGATTTATTATCTGATCTGATAATTTTTATGATTGATTATTTTTATATATTTTGTAATTATTTTTATATATTTTGTAATAGTGTAATTCAGTTTCTGTTTCAATTTTTAAATTTTAGTTTGACTTTCAATTTGATATGATTGAAGAGGTGAATTTATATGTGATTTTTATTGATATATCTACACAGTGATTCGAAGGAGCTGCAATCGTGGATAGATACGATCAATTTCGTGTGCGCCAGTTTTTCGTGTCAACCACTAGCAGGTGCTGTCGGGTCTCAACGCAAGTTCCAGCGTCCGTTGCTGCCATGTAGCCATACTAAATTAAATTCCGTGAGTATATACCTAATTATCCCATTTTTAATCTTGAAGGGTTTAATATGAGAGGTATAAATCTCTATGATTGAATAAACTATCCGTGTAAATCCTGCCACAATTAAATCATCCAAGATCACATCAATGTGACTTTAGATAATCATTATAGGTCACATGAATGAATGTCACTTTTAATTTCCTAAATGGAAACTTCTATTTTTCAATGGATGTTTTTATAGCTTAATTATCATAAGAGTTTTTCAAAACACTATAATAAAGTTTCTTCCGTTAAGTATTTTTAAGTTATAAAGCTTGAAAAAATACATTGTATTTCTTGACACAAACAAAATATATATTAAGAGTTTAACTATGTTATAAATAATTTAACATATAAGATAGGCAATAAGAGCCAAATCGCGGATGACAGTGCGTTATCTAAACGAAACTAAATTTTTTCGTTAGAATTAATACCTGTGCACAAGGCACCAAATTTTACTTGGACACGGTAAAATTGGAATAATCTCTACAAGAGATTTTTTTGTATCCCCTATTCCCCCTAAAGAAATAAAGTGCGAGAGAAAAATATAGATCCAAAGTCCCCGATTCTGCGACTTCGGATCTATATTTTTCTCTCGCACTTTATTTCTTTAGGGGGAATAGGGGATACATGGAATTAAAAATCTCTTGTAGAGATTATTCCAATTTTATATCTTGGCCGTGTCCAAGTAAAATTTGGTGCCTTGTGCACAGGTATTTAATTCTAACGAAAAAATTTAGTTTCTAGAATAACGCACTGTCATCCGCGATTTGGCTCTTATTGCCTATCTTATATATGTTAAATTTACAAAATATATTTTTTTTAATTAATAGGTTTAATTCCTTGCATCGTAAATGTGTAACAAAAGATTATTAAAAGTAGAACGTTATAATTTTCTTTCTCTTTTTCTTTTTCTTTTACTCTCTCTATCTCTGATATCTTTTTATATATAACAATTATGGCATCTAATATATTGCTCTATTTTGAAATATTGAAATTATAAAAATAATATATTTCGAGATTACTTTTATATTCAACTCGTTAAAGTTGAAGCGAAGATAGAGAGAATTAAAATTGATTTGTTGATAGAGAGAGCAGTTGCGGGACCACGAGGATAGAGTTAGCAGATTGGAGGCGGAATTGGACGAGCATAGGCGGCATCCTCCGGAAAGAGGCGCGAAAGCTCTCACTGTACAGAATTATAAGGAGAAGGACGCGTATTTGCATTATGAGGTAATTTTTAAGCAAAGTGTGAAACAAGAATGTCTTTGTAACTTCAGAAACTAAAATTATAATTGCCCTCTTTCCTTCTTCCTTACACACACACACGTATATATAAAATAAATGATGACAATTTTTGTAACAATGCTTTGTTACATAAAAGTGGCAACATTTTTTTTACTCAAAGGATCGCGCATAATCCTTATAGAAATTGGATTTCATGGAATTGACTAATTTTTTCATATGTTGCAGCTTATGACTTGCTTGAGAAAAGATGTAATAGTCTCAAAGTTAAATATTGAATAATTACAGCTAGTCAAACAACTCTCAAAGCCTGACTTTTTTGTATTTGACTAAGTGTAAACCAGAGATAAGCAGGATTAGTGTGGAATTTGTGGTATATAAAATTCTAGATACATGTGAAAAAAAATAACCAATTCCACTAAAAGCTAAAATCCTATGTATTTGGTGTGGTAAAATCTTTCATTACGCCTAAAAGTAACAATTGGGATCTTCTCTTGGTGACCTTTTTCGTTCTAAATAAAAGAGAAAAATTTAATTCTCTCTATTTCTATCTGAAACCACTATCCTTCACTTCGTCATACTCTACAGAGCATTTTTTTCATGAAAACTAAGCTTCCTCTATGAGGAAGCAAAAAGCAGCCAATTCCATCAAAAGCTAAAATTCTATGTATTCGATGGGAGATCCTTATTAAAAGAAAAGTTATCTTTTTTTCTCACCTAGGATTAAAATTCCTACCTCATTCAATTCATAATATCATTTCTCCTTCGTTTCCTCACACACAATCACTCAGTAATATTATAAAATAGGAAGGATCTACTATTCTTGTTTCTAAGGACCCAATTAAATTCCCCAAAACAATTGGGATCTTCTCTCGGTGATCTTTTCCGTTCTAAATAAAAGAAAGAAATACAACTATCTGAAACCATTATCCTCCACTTGGTCATACTCTATAGAGCAACCCATACGGTGCTTGTTCCAGCTGAAGCGGTACAAGACGTATGCTTACCTGCTCCGTTCCCGGCTGGCGTTCAGCGAAGTGGAGCCGTCGTCGCTGGTGGAGAGCAGCATCGGCGAGGTGGACGAGGCCCTTCTCGGATCCTCCGGGGCGATGATAAACGCGGAGGGGGCTCTGGTGCCACCACCGATCCCGGAACGCTCGACGGCAACCAATAGGTATAGTTATCTCACCGCTATTTACAGCGGGGGCGGCGGTGCTCCAGGTCCGGGTGGTCGCAATATGTTGAACGGCGGTCATCAGGACTATAACGCAGGCGGTGGTAACGTTGGTTGACGCGATGCTTTCGGTTGGTGCGGGTTGATCTGACCCAGGTGCTGGTGCTGCTGGTGGTGTTGGTGTTGCCGATGATCTTGATGATCGATAACGATATAGACAGGAGTGACGCAAACTAACGATATACCTGACGGCGCGTCGCGCGTATAAACTGTATATCTGATATGGTATATTAAGTGATATATTCTGCGGCGCAAAATTGTTAAAAATCATACCGAACTGATAAAATAATATAATGACTAAACGGTTTTCAATAAGAGAGTTATAATATATATAGAAATATATGAAGGTATTGTTAAGGCTCCCGGCTCCTCGCCGATCATGTTAGATTGTGACGTCAGAGGCGAGAAAATACGCGCTAAAAATTATTAGATGCCATTTCGACATGAAAAGATATTTCGATGAGCCTTTAAAATACCTCGAAAACTATCCTTTTTTCTTTATAATCAATCAATAGATGTAAAATAATTGTAATGTGAGGCATTTTACGATTGTTGATTGATTGTCCAGGGAAAAGAATAGTTTTTGAGATAGTTTAAAAGTGTGCTGAAATATCTTTTCATTTCAAAATAGCATCTAAGAATTTTTAGTGTGTTATTTTCTCGCCTCTAATGTCACGATCTGATGTGGTCGTAGTGAGGCTCCAGGAGCCTTAAGATAATTTATAAATATGAATAATATTAAATTTAATTGCTACGATATTTTTATTTTCACTATTTAATATTTACAGAGTTAATTTTCCATTTTTCGAAATTTTAAAATTTCTATAACAGAATTTTATACATTTTTAGCCTCTAAATAATATGAAAATAGCTCTTTCTTATTTTATTTGAAAATCTAAGCAAGAATTAAAATATAAGTAAGTAATTAGAATTTTTTAATCGAAATTGAGATCTTGAAAAATATTTTATATTGTATAGATATTTATTTGATTGACGAAAAGAGTTTATAAACATTTGTACATTTAAACTCGAAAGTATTAATTCAAATGATTCACAAACATTCATATTTTAAGTTTATACAATTGAGTAAAGAACTTCTAATTTTTTAATTGTTTCCTCAATCTTGTTAATATGCCATTATATACACATATATGTTTTTTTTCCTTTTCTCATTTAAAAAGAATTACATCACTAATTTTATTATATTGTTTTTGTATCTTATGATTGCAGTTATTTTAATTTTTTATGTTGTAATAGAAATTCAAGTTTTATTTTTCATAATACACACACACACACACAACATACACACACACACACACACAACACACACACACACACACACACACTGATGAAATTTTTTGATATAAAATTAATATACACTGTCAATTTGATATTTATCGATACAAATTTCTACTTTGTTGATTTATATGTATATGTGATTTTGTGATTTATCTATTGATTCCTATTATTAATATTTAAATGTTATTTTATTTCTCATGTGATGTAATGTATTTTATGTCTGAAGTTTTAGTGTTTAAAAAATACGATGATTATAATGTATGATTAATTTTATATACACATACACATGCCACATGAGTATTGTTATTTTTTAAAGATCTTAAGCTAGAAAATCATTAAAATTAACAACTCAATTTAGTTAACAAAATTTTAAAAATTAAGTATTGATCAATATTATAAAAGAATGATATATTACTAAACACATCTCATACAATTACATTTTTGTTATGAATTTTAATCAAAAATTAAAATCGAGAGGATATAATTTTGAATATTTTAAAAATCTTTACTCTTCTATTTTTCTTCTTCCTTCTCTCTCTTTTTTTTCTCTTCTTTTAGTTCAGAGAGCGGATTTTATTTAAGACAGGAAGTCTCTAATTTCAATTATCGAAGGTGGTAATAGATAAAAGTGAGTAAAGAAAGAGATAAAAAGAGAATATCTAAGTAGACGATAAACATATTTCGCTGTTTCATCATATTGTTAGTTTGCGCACAAATATTAATTATGCAAACTAAGAAAAATATATTATATAAAAGTTGAGAGCCTGTTAAGACTGGATAAAAAAAAGTTTTCGCGTTTCAAATTGCTGTCATATAGAATTGAAGAAAATGTATCAGCCATTTTGTGATTAGAGAAACAAATTTTACAAATTTTTTACAAATTTTTTAATTTTATTAACAATTTTATGCGAATATTAAATTACAATTTTTAGGTTTATACATTTTCCTCGTGATTTTATATTATATTTAACTAATAATTTATTTATTGTACGATATGTGCTTAATGATATTTTATTAAGTATTAAGTATCATGAACAATTATTTTTATTTTATAAAATATAAGCATGATTAAGCAAGTCATATTTTTTATTCAAGCTGTGTGATTATATTTAATATGTTATATATTCATATATTAGTTATATAAAATGTATATTTTGTATTTTAACATATAATTAAAATTCCTTTGTCTTCCTAATTTTTACACAATGATAAGATTGTTATTTTTTTTATTCTTAATGATATAAATCTTTGTAATAATTATTTATATATTATGTTAAATATAAACTTTTGCTTTAATATTATTAAATATCAATTGTATTATGTATACATATATATATATATATATATATATATATATATATGTTTAAATAATATTTAGATATGAAATTGTTTTATTTAAATAGAATTAAATTTTTTGCCTTCCTAAGTTTTACATAACATATAATAAATTACTTTTGATGTGTGATTGAGATTTACAACATTCTTTGTGTATATACATTACCCCATTTTAAATCCGCAATAAATATTTATTTTTACAATAAGAGTTATTTTTAATTAAAGATTGAGTGTGAATAAAATTAATTCCTTTAGTTAAAAAATTAATTATAACCAGCAGGAATTTATTATATAAGCGAAACGACTTGGTTAACAATTAAGAAAGTTGATAAAGATAATATAATTATAGTAATTTCTGAATTTATAGAAATTATATAGTAATTTATATACTATATAGTATCATATACAAAATTATATAGATCGAGATGAGATAAAAACTTATAAATAATAGAAATTATTACGTAAATAAATCATCATGTAAGAATTAAACATACAAATGTTTCATTGGATATATGGATATGTGCAAATATACAGGCGGGTTTTATGTAGATATTTTTATTTAACTTAATATTTTTTGTTAAAGATATTCTTATTTCTTTATTCTCTTTGCTTTACATTTAGCACCATTTTTTGTCATTTAAAAAAACTTTTTACATTTAATAATCTTTCTCATTTCTATTTTTCTCTTCCCTTGTGCCTTTTTTCTTTCTCTTATTTTATTTCTTTCTTTTTCTCGTTTCTTAAAGTTTTTTTTAGGAAAAATTACTATCCCATTTGTAGTTTATAGCAAACTCTTTGTACATAAAATTGTAATATATGTGGATACTTACCTTATAAATACTTATTATAAAGTACATAATATAATAATAAAGATCAACGATCTTCAAATCTCACTTGTAAAATCGCTTTTTTTATGAGGATACCCCAATTATTTTTTACATACACATATAGCACAAAATAATTGTTTTTACTTAAAGATAATTATAAAAATGTGTATGTATGTATATATTATATATAATATAAAAATATCTTATGATTTAGCTTTTGTTTGTGTTTAGTTTTGCATGCTTTATTTGGTATTTATGTTAATAAATGGAAATAAATAAAAATATGAATACATGTATACTCAGATAGCCACAGTAATTATTATGACATCAAAATGCATCATTTTGATGGCAAATGATGCATTTTGACATCAAAATGATGTCATAATAATTACTGTGGCTATCTGGGATATACATATATATATATTTATTTATTTATTTCCATATATAATAAGCTCAACATAATATTAACATTATATTAATTAATTATTAGTATACAATTAATTATTATTTAGTACTGTAAGATTAAATCGAGTAATGAAGTTTTTATTGTAATTAAGTCAATTTTTGTTTGTTTTTGCTTATTCTATATAAATTATTTTTCTTTATTTTATTTTGATTTTAGAAATTAACTGCATGTTTGCATGTGTTGATAAATAATCGATAATTTGCATGTATATTGATAGATAACTCATTATCAATAATATCGTAAAAATGGTAATAATAAAAAAGTAATAGATGATAATAATAAATAAATAATAATAATGACAATTCCATCTTTTATTAATAATTTTATAGTAGTTTTGGATTTTTTTAACTTAATGAAATAATAATTTGTTAAAGTTGAAATTATTTTTCTTTATCCATTCCGCATAAATTTTTGTAAATATTGAATTTTTTGTTAAAAAAATCACTTTTATTTGTTGCATGTATAATAGAGCCGACCTATCAACAACGTAGACAAGATGGACAAGATTTATTATATCCAGCTTTCAGGATGTCACTCAGGAAAGTTTTCTTTCTTTTTTTTTTTACACGAAATAATAAATATGAAATGAGAAATAGACAATTCATTATTACCTGAATTTTTCAGCGAAAGATTTATATTTTAAAATTTAGAAGAATGAAGATTGTGTGTTGGTTGCGTAAAAATCTCATGTATTATTTAATTATTTAATGACAAATTTATATTTTGCAAGTATTATTTCCATAAAATTTATAATTATTTATATCTCTGTATGTATGCATAATAATTATTATAATTATTAAATAATTCGGGATTATAATTTTTAATTTAGTATGTTCCTTGTTTGGTATTAATATGGTCATTAAATAATTAATAATATTATTTCTTTTTATAATTAATGTGCGTGTCACTTTAAAATTAAAATAAATAAGTGCAATTTTTTACAACGTTAAAATTCTTTCAATAAGTCTAATTCTTTCAATAAATTTCAATTAGTCTTGTGTGTGTGACAATCTTCATTCTTTCTATTTACATAAAAATTTTTCAAAATAAAATGAGAGAAAGTATTAGTGAAGTCAACGTTTTGTAAAAAATCAAATTCCGAAATAAGAAAAATAAATAACGAAGAATATTTTGCCCCATAAACTTACATAATTTCTTCGTTACCTAGCAAAAATAATACTTGATATAATAAATTACGCTAAAATTTTTCTATATTTACACAAGGTATTTGCATAATTATTTAAGACTGACTACAACAAAATGTATATTAAAATGGTTTTAACATAACAGTCGATGATGATAGTTTAATTTAATTATTAAAAAAATATTAAAAATTACTCACTTCTCTTTGTAAATTTTTAAGTTGTATATGATAAACTCAGTTGAATGAAATGAAAAAAAGAAACCAAAGAATTGCATTTATATACATTCTGTTAAATATGTCATCTCTTTCATCAATTTTCATATTTTTTACAATTCTTATTATATATATATATATATATATATATATATATATATTCATATATCATATAAGTGTCTTGTCTTAGCATAATTTCATTTGTCATAAATAATCAAAAATATATATATATATATATATATATATATATAAATTAAAAGTGAAAACAATTTGTATAGTTTGATTTATATTATCGAGTTGTAAATATATATTTGTAAAAATATTTTTCTTACTATTTTTATATATACATACATATATGTATGTCTTTCTGTGTTTGTGTGTGCGTGCACGCGTGTGTGTATGTGTGTGTGTGTGTGCTTATACACATATATATGTACATCCCAAAAACATTGTAAATTGTATTTTTAATACCAAATATTTTGACAAATTTGAAGAATTTTTGTTTAGTGAAAAATATCGAGAAAAATAATTTATAAATTGAAAGTTTTCAACTTTTTCCAGTCTATATTTTCGTATAATAATCTTTAAATTGAAATTTTACATTAAAAAAAATATATATTTATGCATGTATTGTGTATAGTGTTGTATTATTAATATTAAAAAGAAATGACTTTTTATATTTATGTATTATCTTATTATTATCATATCTTTATCACAAAAACGAGATTATCGATATAAAAATAAAAAAATTATATAATATTACTTTAATAATATATTTTTTGTATTATATATATTTATGTATTATATATATATTTTATAAATAATTATATATGTAATTTATACATATAACTGAAAATCAAGAATAATAAAATAATAGAAAGAGCAAGATTATAATTGAAAAAAAACTCAGTAATGAAATTGGTATAATAATTCTATATAATTCTTCCAAATGATAGATATATCAAATTCGGCTTTACACATAGATATATAGGATATCGCAAATATAACTATTCGTAAAAATAACTATTTCGTATTATATATATATTATATATATATATACACTATTTCGTATTATATATTATATATATATATATATATATATATATATATATATATATATACACGCACACACACACATCACATACATACATGCATACATATGTATGTATGTATAGATTTACATAGAAACACTCCAAGTGGCAAACTAATGTCAAAATGACGTATGTTTGTGACTTGAGAGAGTACACACTGCGTAATATTTATATCATAATTAATTACGATGTGATGGGGATGATGGTAATGATAATAATAATGATATAATACAACAAAATATCATCCGTTACAAAAGCATAAAGTTATAAAATTTGCTTTCTCTTCTTCTCATATACATACACATCTATTTTCTATCTTTGTCATTCTCTCGATATTTTTTCTCTTTTTATATATAAACGTCAATTATAACATATATATTGTACAACACGTTGGAGGAATGTGATGGCATATCTGAGATGAGCACCATTCTGATCAGCAACTTCTCTTCGATTAATTCTTTAATTAGATCCTGAATTACTTCTACGAACAAAAAAAAAGAAAGACACCATCGTAACTCTTTTTCTCTTTCTCTTCTCTCTCTCTCTCTCTCTCTCTCTCTCTCTCTCTCTCTCCTCTCTCTCTCTCTCTCTCTCTAAGTGTAACATTTAGAATTTGAAGAATGAGACAAATTTATGCATAATATATATAATCGATGAACTTATTATTAAGTAAAAAATAAAAATATTGATTGCTTAATTAATTAACAAAAACAGAGATGTGCATATTTTTATATTATATAATATATATTTCTCTTCTTTTTTTAATTTGTTTTATATAGATCTTTTTTTTACCTAGAGATATATTTTGTTACATAATTCTTTATTAGTTTTATACTTCCTTGTCAAACCTAATAAGTAAAAAGAACTGTTTTTATTTATGTACAAGAATATAAATAAAAAATGTACAAACTTTTGTAGAGCCCGAGGAGAGAATTATTATATAATTTTATTACATAATTTAATATACACACACACACACGCATACACACATACACACAACTATTATAAATTATACTTTCGTGGATTATTAAATAATAATGAACAATAATAAATCCGGGATTATAATTATATGATATTGCTCGATGGCACTTTATAAATTAAATTACAACGATTATTTATTATTCTTGCGTTTATGTTGTGTATATGTGTGTTTATTTATATAATATGTATAAATTTTTTCTCTTCTTATATTTATATATTTATACATAGAATTTGTTTTTGCTATCTCTTCTTTATTTCCTATGTGGAAAACTAGTTCTATATAACTTCCTATTTTTTTTGTATAACGCAGATAACAATAATAACAATAGACAGGATAGAAAGAGTCCTAAGTTTTCCCTCGCATATTTTTGTTTCATCTTGTTTTGGTCCTGAGTTTTTTTCTTCTTAGTTCATCCATTTGCGACAATTGGGCGCGCCGCAGGCACATGCGATTTTATGCTGATCATCTTCGATATCAAACTTATAATCATATGCCAACTGGAAAAGAAAAGAGAAATAGATAAATAAAACAATATTCAAGATTTCGAGTGAATTGGACATAAAAGATATTGAGAGAATTCGCGAATTGGAGAAACAAATTTTAAGGCTTCCGAGATCCAAAGATTAGATTGTGACGTCAGAGGATTGTGACAACGAAATATCTTTTTATTCTGAAATAGCATCTAAGAATTTTTTAGCGTGTGTTTTCTTGCCTTTGACGTCACAGAAGCCTTAAAAAGGACTTTTATGCGTGTAATTACCTCTTCACCACGTGAGATTCGACGCTTGGCAAAAATGATAATTCTGAGATCGCGCTCAACTTCGACGATTTCAGCGACACAGTTAGGATTGCATGAATGATTGATGTAACGGGCGAGACCACCGCATAAAGTTGCATCCACTACACGTTCCTCGTCCAATCGAAACATATATATACCGCGATTCTGCAAATAATATTAAATAATTAATAAATAAATAAGAGCAGGGAATAATAAATAAAACTAGAAAATCGAATAATATATACAGTGACAGAATGGACAAAATAACACTAGTTTACAAAAAAATTTTTTTCATTATTTTATAAATCAGATAATGTTTTTTTTTTTAGACTTTTGGATGCTGAAGACGACGCTGCAAGTCAATTTTTGAAATAATTGAGATTTAATAATAAAAAAATAGTTTTTTGCGATATTTGAGACAGAGTATCTACTAAAAAGTAAAATACTGAAATTTAAAAAAATGCATTTTACAAAAAATATATTTGTGATATTCGATTATTTTGTGTTTTTTTTTTTTTTTACAAAAAAGCTCAAATATTTCAAAAAGCCACTTTTTGTACAATAAACCTTAATTATTTTAGAAATCTGAAAGTAAATATATATAATATAATATTAAAATGATAAATTCGGACGCTCACTCTAGCCTCGTATTGCTTCTCTCTGGTCTCCGCTAGCTCCGTCCGAATGATCTCCCCGATGTACTCTATTACCATCGTGTGCTTCTCCAGGTCCCTCGCCGCGTACAATCCCAGACCCTGGATCTTCGATCTCGCTAGATAAACATTGTTACGCCATTCCTGCTTCATCTTCTTATACTGGGAGCTCTTCGAGTGAACGAACTGCTTGGAATACGGACAAGAGGCCGTCTCGCCGACCGCGGTGGCGGCTGCCACCAAGGTCGAGGAGACCCCGCCACCGCCCATCGCGGCGGCGACGCTGCACGTCGACAGGCCGAACGGGACCCCGCGCGACGCGAAACCCCCGGTACGTTGGGTGTGAGGACGCTTCCATGGCAGCTGGTTGCGCAGACGCGCTTCCGTTCGCGCGCTCCCGGTCGGGTTGATGGCCAGTGGGAGCTCCAGCAATGGATTACGGCCGTATTTAAACCTGAAAAATTGAATAAAATGCTATTATCTCTAGCTTCAAGAAGAGTTTGACGTTTGACGAAGTTAATTCTTTTTTGAAACTAACAAGGGAACATTTTCAAATAATGTAAATAATGTAATAAATGTAAATAATCGATCTTGATGAAACTTGGTAGATCAAGATCGATTATTTACACTTGAAAATATTCCCTTGTAAGTTAAGTTAAAGTTAATGGCTTATACAATTAATTTAGTTACGTTAAAAGTTTGTATGAACAAAAAAGTAACTCAGTTGAAGTTAAGTTTAAATTAACGTAAGTCATATAAAAAAAAAGTTAATTTTTAATTTTAAAACATTTTTTTAAATATTTATATTAAATTAACGTGTCATAACTTTAAAATTTTTTAATTTAATATTTTGTTAATTTCTTTGAGTTTATATAAAATGACAAAAATTTTGTTTTTTTATATAAGAATGTATTTTCTTCTTTGTAATTATAATTATGAAAAAAATAAAAACTAATATTGTGGATTAAGAATTGAGTTAAAATGAATTAAAGAAGGAAATTAGGATCCAACTTGAATCGCGAGCTCTTACCTGTAGTCAGTCAGAGTCTCAATCCCAGGCAGACTCTCCAACACCCTAACCACCGTCGGCTCCGTCAAACCAAACAGGTCCTCCCCGGAGACATATCTGGGAAACAGTTGAACGGAATTGGTGCTCCTCCTCAACTCCGCAAGTGGCTCCAAAATCCGGCTCCAAACGGCCCGCGGAGTGGCGTCCCTCAGCTCGACGTCCTCCTGCTGAGGTTCCTGAATGAGGACGCGAAATTCCGGACGGCCGGAAACGTCGTGGATCGAGCAGACGTAGCGGCAGCGTTTGTTGGGTTTGTGCATACTCCAGTAGAAGCGCACGATTTTGTAGCCCACGGGGTAGATGTAATTCGGCGTGTGGAAGTTCTGCAGTTGGTGAGGGAGCAGCTGGCCGACGCTGAGGAAGATGAGGGAGCCCACACGGAGCAGATGGTTGTGCTCGGAATGATGCATCACCGCGGCGACTTGACGATTTTCGTCGCGATTGATGTAAACGCGACGGTAAGCGGACAGCGTGAGCAACTCCTTGTCTTTCTCGTTTTTCAGAACGTGTTGAGGACAGTACATGGTCTGGAAGAAGAATTAAACATTCAGAAAAATTGTAAGGACATTTTATACAGGGTGGTTTATTTTAATCGCTCCAGGCAAATATTTGAGATACGAAAATATGTTTCAAACCAATTTTTTCATACATAAGCTTCTACATAAGCTGATGTCATTGATTTGACCTTGTATAATCATTTGAAGGTTACCTTCAATTTCTCAAATAAAACCTATTTTTCATCACATATTCTTGTAACTTATCTCGAGAGACATAATGCTTTTAAAAAAGTAAGTAAATATTTTATAAAGTATTTATATATTTTATGTCAAAAATTGTTAATTTCAAACCTTAATAACTCAGAAAGTACTTAAGAGAAAAATACTTTGTTATAGTATTTTGAAAAGCTTTCGAGATAAGACAAAAATATGCAATGAAAAATAATAGGTTCCATTTAAGAACTCGAAGGTGACCTTCAAACGATTATACAAGGTCAAAAATGATTAATGACAACATCTTACGCTCCCCTCAAAGTCAAAAAAAACTTTTGTTTGAAACATTTTTTGTATCTCTCATAGTTTTCGAAATATTTGTCGGGTCGATTAAAATAAATCACCTTCTCTTTGTATATTTAGAAAAAATTAAAATTTTGAAAATTCAGTTATACAGTCCCATTTTAAATGAGCCAGTCAAATGTAACGAGAAAAATATGAAAGATACGGAAAAAATATTTCAGACAAAAGTTGTTTGGTTCGAAGGGAGACATAAAATACTTTATTATAGCATTTTGAAAAGCTCTTAAGACAAGCTAGAATATGCATGAACAATAAGGGTTTTTATTTAAAAAGTTGAGTGACCTTCATATGATCTTCAAATAAATCCAAGGTCACATCAATGACACCATCTTATTTTTGCTTGACCCATTTAAATGGGACACCCCGTATACTTTTAATCATTAAATCTAATATACAGGGTGTCCCACTTCAAATTTCTCGAAAACTAAGGCTTAATTATTATTAATTAATATTTATTAATACTACAAATAGTTCCGAGATTACCTTGTCTTTGTAGAAAACGCAATTATCTTTGATGGCGCACATCAGATGGTAGCAATTGGTACACCTCGGCTTGTAGCACTTGATTGTGCCGGCAGATTTTTCGCAAACGATACAAGCTTGCATAAGATTATTCTGCAGCACGTCGTCCAGATGCATAAGTGCGCCACTCTGCACCTCGTACACCACGTTAGACCATAACGCGCAATTTAAATGCACCCATTTGTCTACGTCAAAGTTGAGCAATCGGGCCGGTCCATCCGCAGTCGCGTCGCCCTGATTCTGGCAGAATATGCACCGACGACTGTCCTCAGTTTTCGCGGGCGCCACAGTAACTCCCATGCGAAACAACATCTGCAAGAAGATTTGATATATTTATTTTCATCGGTAACTATCTGCTTTGAAGAATTTATTACAATTTTTTGTTTTATAAACTATAACATGAGAACCCAAGATTCAATTTTATATAGGATTAATATGATGGCCTTGAACCTGTATGAAATCCTAGATAAAATTGAATCCTTGATAAAATCAACTGGTTTTTACAACCACGGAAATACTATTACATCTTTTATTCGGGACTACAATATGAAGAAATCAGCTAATTCCAATTTCCATAAAGATTGTGCGAGGTCCTTCATATTCATTAATTAAATTTGAATATTTATCAAATATCAAAGACACGGAGAAATAAAAATACATAAACTATTTATCTATTAAAAATTCACTGATTTTTAAATAAGATATTACAGATCTATTTCCCCATAAAATATATAAATTCCTGAATATAATTGAATAAGTAAAATGTAATATTTTACCTCGGTAACTTCTCTCTCGGTAGGCTTTTTGAATTTGGTACCGGGTTGTATGTTTCCCATGGACCAGGTCTTATACCTCACACCTTTATATATCTTTGCAGGCGGTTGGGATTCGGTGATTTCGCCACTTTCGTCGGTAATCGTGTGCTTCTTCGGCCGTTTCTCCTCGTTCTCCGCAATTTCCGCGTTGTCCAACTTTTCAGTTTTTATCTTAATCTCAGTTGTCGATTCGTTATCAATTTCCATGCTACCGTGTCTTTCCACACGCTGCTGCTGTTGCTGCTTGATAGGAAACTTTTTCAAACCCTTCATGTCGTCGTCCAACAATTTTGTTTCTGCTTTATGGCAGAGATGATCTACTATCGCCGCAGCCTGCAAAATAATTTAAAAAAATCCAATATAACTTAGATATTGATTTACTTACACTATTTTTTATGTACATTCAATTTTTATACAAACAGTTCCGGAACTTTCACCCCTCCCTGTATATTAATTTTCTTGTAAGAAAGATATATTTTTTGCAAACCTTATCCTGAGTATTTGAAGGTGTTCGATGAATGAGAGCAAATTGCATATAACAGGCCGCCGAGCAGAAGCAAAGTTCGTCGCCGGGTTCGGCTTCTTCCTTGCTGAAGAACGGCAGGTCTGATACTTTCTTCCGGATAAGGCTGTTGAGAATCACGACGTCGCAATGACGACAAAACTTGGCCGCGCCGTTCAGAATACTTTGTATATCGACTGGAGCTGAAAAAACAAATTGGAATCGGAATCATAGAAATTTTATTTAAACAAATGATTTAACGAGTTTTTCTTCTTTATAAATTACGCACCACCTTCTTTGCCGTCTTTCCCCTTCGTTCTATACAATCCTAACTTCTGACTAGGAGGTGTGGAAGTGCGCTCGACTATTTGATAGCCAGTAGGCGGTGCTATGTTCAAAATATTCGCGAGATCTTTCAATACACCCATTATATCGTCGGCGGCCTGGCTGTTCAGAGTTAAAGTGACGGTGACGTTTCCGTTTTCTCGTAAAGGAATCGGAGGAGATCTGCCAAGTCTGAAAAGTAATATATGTCATAAATAATGACAAGTAATATAATATACAGGGTGGAAATAAGGCGTTGCAAACTTTTATTTTCAAAAATAGGGAAAAAAGGTTGGGGCTACTGACTTTTTTCTAAAGGGCGATTTTCAAGGTCATTTAAAGGTCACTTATGTTTTTTTTTAAATAAAACCACCATATTTTTTTAAGTAAATCGATGCCTTGCAATATTCTGCATAAAAAGTTATAAGAATAGAATTGAAAAGTGAATAATTTACGAAATATTTCATAGTTTAGTAAGATTATAAACTTAAGTATGAAATATCTCACAAATTTTTCATTTTCTGACCATTCTATCCCTGTAACTTTTATGCAGAATATTACAAGGAATCCATTAATGTAAAAAAATATGGTAATTCCATTTAAAAACATAACATGCAAATCGCCCTTTAGGAAAAAATAGCGCCAATTTTTTTTCCCCTCGAAATCCTACAATCCTTTTATGTAAAACTTTTTTTCTCTAGAAACAATATTTTTGGAGATAAAAATTCGTAACGCTTTATTCTGTCCACCCTGAATATGTCTAATAATAATAATAAAAATAAATAAATGTGCATACTTGGGTATTCCAAAGTTCTCTTTGTCTTGTTGTTTAGTTGCGTCTTTCGCGTAAGTAGGTTTCAACCTGATCGGAATTGGTGAGATCAAAGGTATAACAGGTGACACGCGTTTCAACCAGTCTGCCTCCTCGTCGGATTCTTCCTCGATCAGTCGCAGTCCGGGAAAATGGTGCATAAATTCTGGTATAACACATTCAGGCGAGGACGAGCTCACGATGGTATCAGGAGAGTCTACATCGCGATTTGCCGCCATAGTCTCCTTCTTGTCATCAGCTAAAAAAGCATCTTTAATTAATATATATGTAATATGCTTATTATAGAATATTTATTTTATATTATCAGAGTTGGGTAATAACTGGTTAATTAGTTAAAAGTTAATAACTTTTAACTTAGCTTAGTTAATTTAAAATGTACTCATTTTTAACTTCAATTAGTTATTTTTGATCTTAAACATATTAACTTTTTTCCTAAATTAATTTTTTTATCTCTTAATATCATTATTGTTTTTTTATAAGTTATAAACGTATTATTTTTAAATTAAAGTATTATTAATTTTTATGTTCATTTGCCATCAATTGTAATTACCAAAAAATATATTTCTACATAAAAATCACAATTTCTTTGTTATTTATTATAAATTTTAAAAGAATTAACAAACAAAATTCTAATTTAATATAAATAATGTTTTGACAAATTAACTTTAACTGAGTTAATTTTTGTATATGCAACTTTTAACTTAACTAAATTAATTTTAAATAAATAACCAATTTTTAATTTAACTTTGTTAGTTTTAAAAAATCATTAACTTGTCCAACCCTGTATATCATAAATATTTGTAATAAAATAAATGGTTGCTCACAATCATCGAGCTTCAAGGGCGGGAATTCCTGCTCGTAAAATCCTCTCTGCGTGGACAAGGGCTGCTGAGGCGACAGAGGATTCAATTCTCCAAAAGGCTGCGTATTATAATGATCGGAAATTCCGGCCAAACTGGCCGATCCGTAACTTCCGATCAAGTCGCCAACTCTCGCGTTATAATCCTTCTGACTTCCAATCTTGGCGAGGTCCCCGCATCCCAAGATCGGACACACCCCGTAATTGCGACCCAGCTGAGGCTCCAGCACTACCATCGGTTGCAGCTGACGTAACTGCGTCATCAAGTTCTCCATAAACGTCTCGTAATCCTCGTCGAGGCGCGAGACCTTACGGGAACGTTTCTTCTGGGGCGCCGTCATAGCGTCCTTTCCCTGGCTCTGCTTTCGCTTCTGCTGGTATTGCCTTCTCTTCATCTTCTTCTGGTCTGAAAAGCGCATAAAAGATGAATATAAATATAAAAAAATTTTTATTTTTTTAATTATATTTTTTTATTATATTTTATAATAAATAGATAATTAAAAAAAACAGAAAAAATTGACAAAATGCGGTCGAGTGTCCTTGAAAAAAAACTTGAATGTTAACAACCATGTCATCCTCACCAGTTTTATCGTCTATCGCGCTGTCCACGAGCTCCTCTTTGGCAGTAAGAAAATCTTTGGTATCGGTTTGCAAGTGGCTGGTCGCGCCAGTCGTGCCAGCAGCAACGGTTAGAACCTCCTCGAGGCCCATCTCCTTCTTCACCTCGACCAAAGGCACTATCTTGGAACCCGACGGAGCTGCAGCAGGAACCGAGACGGCGGTAGCCGGTGGTGGCCCCGCGATAGTTCCGTGGCTGAGTTGAGGCACTTGTTGAACAGACTGTGGATGAACGGAGGGAGTCGAGGAAGGAACTTGTTGGGCCACTATTGGTTTCTGCGAGACCTGGATCTGACTCTGAACCTGCTGGCCTCCTGGTTGCGGGGTCTGCGGCCCGGGAACATTGCTGGAGCTATTGCTTATCGGCGGCTGAACGGTCTTCGGGGTCATCCCGGAGGTCACCAATGGTTGACTCGGCAAACTAACCTTCGGAACGGGACCAGGAACACGTTGCGGCGTCGGGGGCTCTTCGTCAACGTTGGTCCCCGGCTTCCCGAGGGTCTCTTGCTGATTCGTGGAAACGTCCGGAGACGCCCCCGTCGGTACCGTCGAGGAGACCGACTGTTTCACCAAAGGACTTGCTGAGGAAGTCACTACGGAGCTTCCCGACAAAGTGGGAATTAATTTTGTGGTTTGTTGCTTTAAGCTTTCCGGGTGGCTTCTTTGCGACGTTATCGGAATCGAGGTGGATATCGGGGGAGAAGGTTTGGGAGGTTCTTCCTTGGTCACTGGTGAAGTTTGGATCTTCATGTGCGGTACCGAATGCGACAGAAAGGAAGTTTCCCTCGTAAGAACTTGTTTGTTTACCATGGGTGGTTTCGACATTGATGTCTCGTTTTGCAACTCAGGCAGCACCCGGCCGTCAGATGGCGGATCCAGTTGTTCCGCAAATGAAGAAACTATTGGCAGGGGCCCTTGCGGCCCTGAGACCGTTTTCTGCAACAGCTGTTTCAATAATACATTTTGGGAATCCTCCGATCTCAACGAGCTATCATCCTTGGTGGGATCCGCTTCTCTCTTCTCCTGTACTTTGGACTCTTCAGGATCCTTTGCCAAAGTCGTGGATTGATTTTCAGGATCGGTATTTTTGTTATCAATGGGTAGAAGATCGGAAGATTTGTACTGACTTTGATTAGGGGTCAAAAGATGGTTCGAAGCTTGCGACAAGGTCGTTTGAAGGATGCTAGGGGTCCCGGAGACTCTGCTAGAGATCGCTAAAGGCGGCACGATGCCGATCTGCATCGGGCTGGTTACGGCCGAATTGGTGTTCATTTGCATTCGAGCGGGTGTGGAACATCCTGAAGTGACCTGGAGAATCGCCTGAAAACTCTGCGAGCGTTGTATCGAGGTTGACGGCAGCACGGAGTTACAACGATTAACAGACTGAGTTGGCACCGGGTTATTTCTACCGTGACCAGCTACTGAGGTGTTTAACGAAATAGTGTTGGCCTGTAGCATGGCAGTTAACATGGCGTTCGAGCTGGAGCTCGAAGTCGTGGTTCTGGTGGTTATCACCACGGAAGTGGTGCTGGAAAGATTGGAGACCGTCGTGGACTGGATAGTTGTAGCCGAAGAGGTTACCCTGAAGACCTGCTCGCCGTTGCTGATCTTCGTAACCATTCCACTGGAGTCCTTTAACGCCTCTTTCATGGCCAATTCTGAGTCTTTAATAACGTTATTCAGCGTACTGAGCTGCGGGCAACCTTGATCCGACCTCGCCAAGATCGAGACTCCGCTTTGGGCGACAATATTGGGCGAATTTAGAGTCGACAGGATGCTAGAAGCGGACGAAACGTTTCCAGGCTTCTCCGAAGACACCATCGCAATTATTCCAGGTTGGTTCACCGTATTGCTTTGCAAGGACGACAGCAAGGTCCTCAGCTGATGGGACACGTTCGCCACGTTGGAAGTCAGTTCGGTTGGCTTCGAGAGTGGCGACAGATGGGGAACCGTCGTCGTACTCTTCTGCAATTGCGCTACAGTGCTGACTACTAAAGTGGAAGAAGAAGCCGGACCGCTCGTCACTGGAGGACTCTTCTTCATTTCGGAACTCTGGTCCTTCGCTTGACTTTTAGCTTCGCTCGAGGTAAGTTGATCACTCTCCAGATTTTCTTCGATCAACGAGTCCTGAAGGATGTTCAAGGGCAAAGTGTCAAGCGGAGTTGGCATCTGGTAGATAAGACTACTTGACTTTAGTTCGCCGCTGTTCGCCATTTCCGGCTTCGAGGAGATGATGTTGTGCAACATATCTAGAATATCATCCGACGATTCCTCCATCAAAGTCTTCTCCTCGCTCAGACAATGCTGAAGAAATGGTTTCGAACTTTCCACTTCACTCCTGCATAATTCTTTCTGATTGGCCTTCTCATTGGAAAGAATAGTTTTGTCATTATTAACCTCTTCAACATTCTTTTCAGCTTCTTTCGGTTTGCCGGCACCCTTTTGCGCCTCGGAACCCGATAACATCTGTTCCTTATCGTTATCCACCAATTCGGAATCGTTTTCCAAGATGTTCACAAGCGACAAGTCATCGGTGACGGGCGACATCCTTTTTAGGGTTGTCGTCGGGGTATCGTTTTTATTCTCGGCATTTTCCACAGGATTGTGAATAGCTTCCAGCATGCTCTCGAGCTCGTCCGTGGTATTCAGCGGGTCGGTTTTCTTCTCTTCAGCAATCGATTCTGAAGACTTGCTTTCGTTCTTCATCTTACCGTCCACTTCTTCCTCTTCCTTCTTCATTTCAGCTCGCTGATCTTCCACTTGTCTTTCCTTGCTTTTCACGTTACTCTCCTTCTTCGGCAAATCCGGAATCGACATCTTCGGGGTCAACAGCGTAACGGAAGTCGGCTGCACACTCAAGACTAATTTCGTAGGATTGCTCAGAGATTCCGTTTTGCCGCTCGGTAAATTCAAGGAAGTTATCAAAGGCTTTCCCGAAGATATCATCCCGACTTTCAGATCCAGTTTACCTTGCTGAGGTTTGGAGGCCATCGCGGTTTGACTGAGTTTCGCAGCGATCTTCGCGTCCTCCACGATGCTCGCGAAGTCTTTCTGACTGCTGAAGGAGCTTGAAGGAGTTTCCTTCGGATCAAACAGACCTATCGTTTTCGTTTCCGCCGCAATCGGCCGAACTGAGAGTCGACTCGGTTGAGAATTGGAACTGATAGAAGCCAGAATCATATTCGAACTTGAAGAGATCGCAGAGTGCGCCGAAGTTGAAATCGTGATCGTACTAATACTCGTTTGATGCACAGTTGAGATCGAAATTTTGTTATGAAAAGGTTTATTATCGGAAAAAATGAAGTTAGTGGGACTCTTGTTTTGCTTCAACTTACTCTGGTCGTCTTTCGAGCTTTCGTTGGCTGTATTATCCTTGGAAACGTCAGTTTGCAGGTTGGAATCAATCTTCTCAGCGTCCTCGTCGCCCGATCCTTTGGAGAGATTGTCTTCAGGAGATTTGGTCGTGGGGTCGATGATAACCACCTCAGATTCATTTACCAAGGACACCATGAGCTCTTGATCGAGAGACTGGTCCAAGTAAGAACCCGGGGAAGGATTCACTCGGAGCTCTTCTTGATCCGGAGATTCTGGAGTATCCTCGGTAACGGCGACTAGCTTCTTTCCAGCTTGCAAGGTCCTCACTATATCGAGTCTGAGACCCTTCTTGTTCCTCAGATGAGACGAAATTAGGTCTTCGTCGCTCAGAATCGGTTCCTCCGCAGATTGCGACTCGGGATTTTCAATCTCCAGGATCTGCACCAGATCGTGACCTTGACCGGCGTCGTTTACTAAAGCGTGGCAAAGCGAATCGTTGCTATCGGTGGAAAGATCGACCATTTCAGGTTCGAAGAGAATATATTCTTCCTGCATATCTCCTTCCAGACTTCCCGAAATGACATCCGAAATAACGAGCTCCGAGTCGCCGAACTGTTCAATTACAGTGATGTCGTCGCTGTCCCGTTGCGCCACGGAGCTCAAGGTTACCTCGGTGTTCACTATGGTTTTATCGTCATCGTAATCCGTCGTGTCTGCAAGCTGCTCCAATTTCACGCCAGGACTTTCCAAAGGTTCGGTGTCCAAGGTCGAAGAGATCAAGGAAGGGTTTTGACCAGTCGGTTTCACCTCCAAGGTCGTCGGCGAGGCCTGCAGCGGAGTGTGCGAATCATCGTCGAAATCGTTGTAATCGGCGCAAACCAACGAGCCAATTCTGGCGGTTTTCCGATTCACAGAAGTGTTCGGCTTCTCTTCCGCCGGTTGATCCCTCTTCGCCTGAGACATTTCCGACTCCTTGCCGCTTTTGCTGCTCTCCGCTTTGCTCGACCACATCGGCGAACCACCTCTTAGACCCAACTTAAAGTATCCAAATCTTCCGAAAAATGGCTTCGGTTTTGCGCACTTATTCTGATCTTTACTATTATTCTTAGCAGTATTTTCCAATGAAAAAACTCGTTCCTGATAACCTGGCGAGCCACCTCTTAATCCTAATTTAAAGTACCCAGACTTGCCAAAATTAGGAAAGGGAATTGGATTTAAAGAATTATTGGAGTTTCCTCCACCTCTAGAATTTTCTGCTAAAGACGATGAATCTTGAAGAATTTGCATTTGATCGCTCGAAGTCGTGGGTAAATTAGCACTTTGTTGAATAAAATTGTGAGGTGTGTGAGGCGTTCTTGGTGTTCCAGGATTTTCCACACTTTGCGGTCTATCTGGCATAGCCGGACTGCTTCCTGTAGATTGTCTTCGTTGCATTTGCATGGGAGATCCGGCTACCATAGGACTTCTAGGCATCATAGGTGAGCTAGGCGGTTGATTTGTTGTTGAAGAATGATGATGACCGCCGTGAAGCATCGGCGAAATCCTGTTCATCGGACTGGGAGGCTGCGAAATCGGATTCAGTTGCTGCTGAAGCATCGGAGATCCCATCGTCACCTGCTGCACCATGGGTGAGCTCGGAGGTTGGCCATAACCTTGTTGAAGTTGTTGATGAAGCTGCGGACTTGGAGAACTAGCTGGTTGAGACATCATTGGCGAGTTAGGCGGTTTTTGTTGCTGTTGCTGTTGCATCTGCAAAAATCGTTGCTGTTGTTGAATTATATGTTGTCGTTGTTGAGCCAATTGCAATGATCTTTGAGCAATAGAATTTTGTCCCTCTTGAGAAATAATCTGAGAAACAGTCTCGTGTTGTTGCTGAATAATTTGTCGTTGCTGAACCATTTGCAGTGATCTCTGAGCAATAGTGCTTTGCGTGTCTTGAGAAACATCCTCGTGTTGCTGCTGAATTTGTTGTTGCTGTTGTTGAAGAATTTGTTGCTGCTGTTGAAGGGTTTGTTGTCGTTGCTGAGCCATTTGCAAATTTCTTTGAGCAACAACACTCTGCCCATCCTGAGGAATGTTTTCGTGTTGTTGAAGAATCTGCTGACGTTGCTGTGTCATTTGTAATGTTCTTTGAATAACGTTTTGTCCGTCTTGAGAAATAGTCTGTGCAATCCCTTCGTGCTGCTGTTGTTGAAGAATTTGTCGTTGTTGCACTATTTGCAAATTTCTTTGAGCTTGAACATTTTGTATTTCTTGAGAAGTATCTTCTTGTTGTTGCTGCTGCTGCTGCTGTTGCTGAAAAATTTGCTGTCGTTGCTGCGCCATTTGCATTGTTCTTTGCCCTATGGAACTTTGCCCTTCTGGAGAAATACCTTGAGGAATTACTTCGTGTTGTTGAACAATTTGTTGTTGGAGAATCTGCTGTCGTTGCTGCATCAGATGTAAATTTCTTTGAGTAACAACAGTCTGTCCTTCTTGAGAAATAATATCGCTCTGTTGCTGAAGGACTTGTCGTGGCTGTGGAACCATTTGCAGTGGTCTTTGACTAATAGAATTCTGTCCTTCCTGAACAACATTTTCGGTTTGTTGAAGAATTTGTCTTTGCTGAGTTATTTGCATCGATCTTTGAACAATAATGTTCTGCCCATCCTGAGAAATTCCTTCTTGTTGTTGTTGCTGCTGCTGAATAATTTGTTGCCGAGCCATTTGTAAATTCCTTTGAGCAACAGCATTATGTCCTTCTTGAGAAACATCATTTGATTGCTGCTGTTGTTGAAGAATCTGCCTCTGTTGTTGTTGAGCTATATTCTGCAAGTTTCGTTGAGTAACGATATTCTGTCCATCCTGAGAAATATCACTCTGTTGTTGCTGCTGCTGAAGAATTTGTTGTCGAGAAATGCTTTCGTGTTGCTGTTGCTGAGTGAAAACCTGTTGCCGCTGCAACGTCCCTCGCGCAATGACGCCCTGTCCCTGATCCTGAGCAACATTTTCATGTTGTTGTTGCTGCTGAATAATTTGCTGCCTCTGCAATAATTGCTGATGCTGCTGACTCAGCAACTGTTGCTGCCCTGGTTGAGGACTGTAAACAATGCTACCCCTTCTCTGCGCCACTCCCTCAGGCGGCCTGACGAATCTCTGCGCCAAAGTGTGAACTCTTGATACTATGCTCTGATCGGCCATCATTTGTTGCGGATTTCGCGTTTCTGGCGTAAAGGCACCGGGAGAGGTTGCTAATCTTCCGCCGATGATGGCTCTGTGTTGTGGCGATGTCATCCGCGTAGTGTTGGGATTACATAAACCCGGAGAAGGCATCGGTCCGGGACTGAAGGGACTCTCGTCGCCTTGAGAGTGAGGAGTGCCAATTCTCGGCGACTGTTGCTGAACGTTGTGAGGTGACATTGTTCCCAGATTGGTCGACTGAGAATTACCCGGACTGTGCTGAAGCAACGGTGTACCTGGACTGTGTTGCACGATTGACGGAGTCGCCGGTGAATGTTGAATCATATTGGGACCAGGGCTCTGAGAAACTAAAGCCGCTGGAGAATGCATCGGGGAATGTTGAGAAGGCGACATCAGCGGAGAACAGGGTTCGCTCGATTGGGAATGAGCCTGCCGTTGCTGCTGCTTGCTTTGATATTCCTGAATCGTCATGTTGTGTTGGCGACCTTGCTTTCGCGCTTGATCCAAGTGTTTCTGTAAAATAGCCTGCTCACTGGTGACCCGTTGCAGCTCGGCAGAGTCCGCTTCTGTCAACTCGTTGCCGGATTTTCGAAGCTGGCGTTGCTTGCTATTGAGAGACTGGAAAGGGTGAAAAATTACATGTGATTAGTTAAAACGGATTCAGTATTATATGTGTGTAAAAATATTTATTTACTTAATATAGAGAAATTAATTAATTTTTATTTACCTTTCTTATTTTGCGGAGTTTTTGGATTTCTGTTTCGTAAAAATGTAACTGTTGCTTCAATATTTGATCTTGACTACTAAGCCAGTGCTCATACTGCAATTGCATCTGTCGATCTTGTTCATTGACTATATTTTCTGGGGGAACTGGTGGTGCTGGTAACTGCTGCACGTTGAACGTAAGTACCCTCGCTAAATAAATAACACAGTTTTAAAATAAATTAAAAAAAAAATAGTATTTTTAAGGAGGAATAAATCTCATATATTTATGAAGTTTTTCATTATAAATATTAACATCAAATAATATATCAATAATCTAATTTTTTAAGACAGAATATTAAATATATGTATTGGAGAATATTAAATTAAAATACAATTGTGTCTATATACTTGTGTAATTCACTTTTTCTATTCTTAATAATTTTTTATCATTAAAAATGCAATTTATAAATCACACAAAAATATATTTTTCTCTTTCATTTTTTAAAACAAACAAAATGTTATAAATTTTTGGACACTAAAAACAATGTCAATTTTCACCAGCATGTTAGGTTTTCAAAATAACTGTTTTACTAATTTACAGCCAGTCAAATACGAAAAATTTGAGATCTACGAGTTGTTTAACTGGCTGTCACTCAGTAACTATTTAACTTTGAAGCTACATCTTTTGTTCAGCAAGTTCTAAGCTACAACATATGACAACATAAAACAATTTTTTTAAGATTTCTATGCTAATATATTCATAATATTTTAAAATTCGAAAATTTACAATTAAAAAATTCATATTCTTTAATTCACACCAAATTCAAAATCAATCATTCTTTAATGATATATATATATATTTTTTTAAATTAAAAATTTAAATAAAGAAAAACCCTTTTCATTAATCCTCGTCAAATTAAATACCAAACATCATTAAAGATACTCTATTTATATAAAAATATTTAGTCTAGTATCTCAAAATTCACGGAAGAAAGAACCACATACATTTCTAAAAAAAGAATTTCATAAAAATTTGATAAAAATTGAACCGTTTCACCAATGATCGCCAAATTCAATACCAAATATCCTTTAATATTAGTCTATTAATATAAAAAAAAATTATCATTTCTTAAAATTTAGGGAAGTTAGAGCAACCACAAACATTTTTTGAAAAATTTAAATTGCATTAAAATTTAAAACATTGTACAAATTTTTATAAACATGACAGTAAATAAAAGCGTTGCGTTGTTTTACTTGTATGTCAAATTAGAGCGTTGTAAGTAAAATACTTTTTGAGATATTTAAATTAAAAAAAAATAAGTAGGCACATGCTCGTACATACACATATTTTTAAAAATGTGATTTTTCGATGTTTAGGAATATTTTGAACACATTGGCATAAAAATCTGAAAAAATCTTTTTTTTATAAAAACAAAGCTTCCTCTATGAGGAAGCAAAACACAATCAATTTTCAGCAAAAATCTATTAAAAAAACACTTTGTCTGACGTAAAAATTGGCTAAAAAAATTAAAAAATCTAAACTAGTGCAACGAATCGAGAAACCCAGATAATGGAAGACTACTAACACTCAGGCGGGGTCTGAGTAGCGATTGGCTGTCTCGCTCCCACTTGGGCCGTCAACTTTGCTGTCCCATCAGTAGTCACAGCAGCAGCCACAGTACCCTGCTGCCAATTGGTGTCGGATCCTGAAGACGCCTGTCTCGCCACGCAAGGTGGCCTCGCCACCGGCACCATATTCTGGGGAGGCGACGTGGCGCCCAGAACGTCAGCTCTGAGCCTCTCGAAGTCGCTGTCGCTCAGAAGACTACCTCCGGCGGCACTCTCAGTTTGTTGCTGCTGCTGTTGCTGCTGCTGCTGTTGAAGCTGCTGCTTTTCCTGCTGCTGTTGAAGCTCCTGCCTCTCCTGCTGCAGCAAGTCCGCTAACAACAACGGCTGTTCCTGTGAACACGACTGCTGCCAGTCAAAGTTGATTTCGGATATAAGGGATGCTACTTCGGAATTCAGGAATTGAGATTGCGACGCAAACAGTTTGCAAAGTCAGGTAAAATTGTGTACGTGTACATACATATATAAAAAAGTTGAGTGCAAAAAAGAATACATGTGATAATTGAGAAAAATACAATTTTATATATTTAAGGTTTTATTAATAATAATATTTCTAACGCAGTGAAATTTTTCTACTATATGTAAATATTTAAAACAAATTTTTTTTAATGTACGATTTAATTAGTAATACACATTCACACACACAAACATCTATACATACATATATACATATACAAGGTATCCCATTTTAATGTCCCACCCCAAATAAGTTTTTTATTTCTGATTGTAGAAAAAAATGTTTCAGACAAAAGTTGTATGGTTTCGAGGAGGACATAAGATGGTGCCATTAGTTTGACCTTGAATAGTTACTTGAAGGTCACGTAAAGATCACCTTGAGATGAGATCTTGTCCTATAACTCAAAAAGTACTTGAGATAAAAATGTTTCATTATAGTATTTTGGAAAGCTCTCGATGTCAGCTACAAGAATATGTAATGAAAAGTAGGTGGTTCCATTTAAGAAATTAAAGGTCTTTCAAATGACCCTCAAGCAACTATTCAAGGTCAAACTAATAGCACCACCTTATGTCCTCCTCGAAACCATACAACTTTTGTCTAAAACATTTTTTTTCTACAATAAAAAATAAAAAACTTATTTAGAGTGGGACATTAAAATGGGACACCCTGTATAAGTGTATATACACACGCACTCGCATATACATGCAAAACATATTTTTTAATACATTTAATAATGTACTTAATCATAAAAGAAGCGATTCTAAATCATATTACTTTGAAATAAAGAATTCAGCAAATTTTGGTAAAAATGCAATCTTACTCAATATTAATAAAAATTAATATCATGCAATATACTTACATGCAAACATATTTAAAAGTGCATCAAATTTTATAATAAAGTAAATAGAGAAGAGGGAATAAAAAGTGCAGGTGTTAATGACTTGTTTTCATTTTCACAGTAGGATAATAAAACTATAATTCACAAAATAATACAATATAAATATTTTTTTAAATTCAATTAGTATTATATAATCAAATACTTAATGTTTAAATAATTTTAATTAATAGGAGATATAATACTGATAGAAGATATAATACAATTAAACATTGTATTTAATATATCCAGCAGTATATATAATATTTCACAACACAATTAATTAAACAAATAAGTAAATATTATTCTTTCTATGTTATTTAATTAATTTATCATTCTGTTACTTTCATATATTATTTTATTTAAAATATATTATTTTTTGTATAATATAATTAAACTTTTTTTTTTATTATGTATAAATATTATATATTTTTCGTCTTAATTTTATTTTTTATTAAACAGAGTGTTCCATAGGAAATTGCTGAAACTAATCAGCTGTCATTTTTAATGCATGCATTGAGAAAAAAAATTGTGTTGGAAAGAGAAAAGTCTGCAGTTAATGGATAATAATAAATTTTTATATACCAGTTTATTTTATTAATAAAAAGTAATTTAAAAAGTGCTAATATTCACATAAAAACACATAAAATGATAAATATTTTCAACAGTGGCGGATTTAATAGTAGCTATTAAAAGGATCGTTAAAAATGACATGTTAGAAAAAGTTTTTACGAATTTTCGTAAAAGAACAGAATTTTGTACAAATTCAAATAGTGCGCAATTCGAAAATATTTATCATTAGCTTATATATAAGATTATTAACACTTTTTTCAATAAAATAAACCAATATACAAACATTTTATTTATATCCATTAAAAATTGCAAACTTTCTTCTTTTCAACACAATTTTTGTTTTCTCAATAACCGCATGCATTAAAAAATGATTGCTGATTAGTTTCACAGGATGTATACTCAAATCTTAGAAATAAATTCTCTGAGGATTCCATGATTTTCCAGGTTTTTCCAAGGAGTATACAACCTGACACGTAATTTCTTATGGGACACCCTGTATAATAGAAAATGATTAGCAAAACATTGCTTTAAAAAAATTCTTACTTCATACAAAGAAAAATAAGCCTTTTATAAAACTTGGTTGAAAAAAAATTGTGTTCTATTTTAATATTAATGAGATATGACCCGAATCTTGCTCACCTGCAAAAGCAAGGGTCTTCGGTGAGGGTGCGGCACCACGGAGCCCATCGCTGGGCCCGTCACCGGCACCTGGTGCCCCGTTATATGGACCGGGGGACGTATCATACCTCGCCCACTACCACCACCACCTGGGCACAGCCCCATCTAGACACATGCACCAACACCAAATGCATATTGCAAACTTGCACACCCAGGCCAAAAACACCAGCCAATATTCTTTATCGCAACCCTTTCAGTACCATTTGAGTATTTGCAAGATTTACAGGGTATCCCAGTTTAAATAGAAAACATTTCAGACGAAAGTTGTGCGTTTGGTTTTGAAAGGGGACACAAGATGACCTTGAATAATCATTTGAAGGTCACACAAAGGTCATTTTTAATTTTTCTAATGGAAACCTCTATTTTTCCATGTATATTTTCTCATTCAGTGTTTTTCGAATGATAATGTCTGACACATTTGCGGTATTTTTTGACATAAAATACAAAATATCTTGTAAAATAATTCGTTTTCATTGATCTTACCTTAATACTTTTATGCATAAAATAAGAGACAAAATAATTGTAAAGAAAAGTATTAAGATAAGATTACCGAAAACTGAATGTTTTGCAAGATATTTTGTATTTTATGTCAAAAAATACTGTATCTTTTTCAAGCTTTATAACTCGAAAAATACTTAACGAAAGAAACTTTATTATAGTTAATACGATATATACGATAAGATTAATTCTCACAGAGTATCACCTATTACAATTTTTAATATTGAAGCGGTTTTATAAAAATATCAACTTGTTTTTCGGCTACCACCTTAGACGTACGTAATATTAATAAAATCTTTATATAAAAACAAATTCAAAACTAATGTCAACCGTATTTTAAGTAATTTATTGTTTACAGTGTAATTTATTGCTGAAGATGGCTTAATGCAGGCCGAAACGTTTAATCAATTTTAATAAACCCAGGATCTTTTGCACGACTAGCTCTTATGATAAGCTAAAAAAACATGCATTGAAAAATATAGGAATTTTTTCCATTTAAGAAATTAAAAATGACCTTCAAATGATTATCCAAGGTCACATTAATAGTGTATCTTATATCTCTCTTTGAATAAAATAAAACATTTGTATGAAATATTTTTCCATATCTTTCATATTTTTTGCCTGGATGTTTGCCTGGCTCATTTAAAATGAGATACCCCGTATATTGAAATTTCTCTGAACAACCCATTAAATTGCAAAGAAAATATTAATAAATTTTTTATTAAATATCAATTAAATTTCTATTTGCTCGTGTATCGTATAAAACAACAAATGTATTCAAAAAAGGCCAACTTATCGAGCAATATTTAAGATGTTGTATCCACTTAAATTTATTCCATAAACAATATATTAAAATTACAAAAAAACCTTCCATAAACGTTTCAACCGCACGCGGCCTTCCTCAGTATAACAATGTTAAGTACTTTATAATTCTTACAAAAAATACATCATAATATTCTTAAAATTACTAATAGTCCGTTCCTTCGAGTCGAGACACTCGGTAATTTCTGAACATATAAAAAAAAACACCATACATTCAACTGAGATAATGTATTGATTATGGACAAGGAAATTAAGTATCACAAAAGACTCATCTCAGAGATGTTACATATTAAAGAACAAAAAATGAATTAAATTTAAATAAAGACACTGAGTTACTTAGCGAGTCCTATTATATTTTAGAATTAGCAAAAATAAAATAATAATAAGACAAATAGGACATCAACAGTTTAGGCATATCTATCCGATCGTATATAAACACACATAATTTGCGATTAAATATAGTTCAAAATGAGGTGTCTTGTTAGACTGTTGGTTTTCTCTTTTTATAATATTTTCAATTTTAAAAAACAAACTGTGTTAAAACTGTGAAAAGAGGCGACATAAAGTAAGCATAATAAATTTATGTAAGGACTTTTTATCTATTAGTAGACATGTTAATCGTTATTTATTTATGAATCACAGCGCCTATGGATATTAAGAATTTCTCGCTTAAAAACGAAGAAATAATTTACGAGATCTGACTAACAGCATAAGATCACATCACGCGGCAAATACTTTTATAAATTAAATATGACAAATTGTAACACGCATAAATTTCGTATAATTCTCGACTCGAAGAATGGACTATTAGTAATTTTAAGAATATTATGATGTATCTTTTGTAAGAATTATAAAGTACTTAACATTGTTACTGAGGAAGACCGCGTGCGGTTGAAACGTTTATGGAAGATTTTTTTTGTAATTTTAATATATTGTTTATGGAATAAATTTTAAGTGGATACAACATCTTAAATATTGCTCGATAAGTTGGCCTTTTTTTAAATACATTTGATTTTTATTAATATATATGTATATACATATTTATAAAATAAAAAATATCCCTGTTCAGATAATGTTTTATTTAAAAATAGTCTTTTTTACTAATAAATAATTTAATTAAAAAATTTCCACGTTATTTTATGTTTATGACAATTGTTATGAAAGAAGAACATTGTAAACAAGCTATATTAGAATGAAAGGATATATTAAAATAAAAAAATATACCTAATATTAAATTGGATGTGTTATTCAGTTATTGTAATAACACATATATTAATAAAATTTCTCTTGTAATTGCAAGATCTATTTGAGACCAAACACTATTTATTATAAACTACATTTGTTTGTAATAAAAAAAATGTTGTAATTATTTATAATTTAAAATACATTCTTTTTGGCACTGAAAGTGTTAATATTGTTTAGCTACAATCACAACAAATTTTGGTTTCGCTTTCTGATCACATTATAACTAGATAAAATATAAAAAATATTATTTTATTAAAAAATAATTCTATTAATGTGTGAAAAAAATATATAATAAAAACATATATTACTTAAATAATCTATGTTTGTATATTTCACATAATATATCTCATAATAAAAATTCTCGTAAATATTAATAATTTCGAAATATGTTTTTAAATAAAATTACTATTATTAAATAAACTTTAATTTGTACAATATGAATAATTATCATCATCAGTGTAAAAATACATTATTTTATTTTTCTCGTTCGACTGTATGTATATAATAACAAACTGTGCAACATTACTTTGTGTATAGTCTGAAAAAACTGCAACAACCGCGCAAAATATTTTTGAAACAAATTTAGCAAACCTGAAATATTGACTGACACAAATATTATACATGCAATCATGAAGCATTTTATTAATTATACATCTTGCAAACCATGTTATAATAATTAAATAAGTGTCATCAATAGGTTTATTATAGCATTAGATCATCAACATCGTCAGCAAAGTTATTTCGATATTTTATCCGTCATTTTCGATTTTTTATGGGATTTTTATTTCATAAATCATTATTCTTTTTAAAATATGTATATGAATATGTATATTGTGTTATGTACGTGTATAATTTGTAAAATGTTTTTCATAAATTATATACTTAATTATCTTTAAAAAATACAATAATAATAGAATAATACTTCAGTAAATTTAATTCACAAATTAAAAAATTCACAATATAATTTTTTTTAATTCATAAATCTTTTAAATAACTTTTTCAAATAATATTTTTATATAACATTAAATATTAAAGCACAAATTTAAAAAAATATAATTAATGTAAGAATTTAGCGCTTACCTGTATTGGTCCAGGATACGGAGGTGGCGGTCCCGGATACGGAGGTGGCGGAGGAGGATGTGACGGAGCAAGCGACATTCGAGGGGCGACCATGTGTACGGCCAGTCTATTTGGTACTCCTGCCACTCGCATGCTTGCCAATCGTTGTTGCTGTGAGACTGCGATAAGAGAGATAGACTAATTATAAAGAGGTAAACGTTTTTATTATTATATCATAAATACACCAGTTTACAGCCAAAAATTCAGGGTTGGGTAATAATTAGTTAAATAGTTAAAAAGTTAATAACTCTGTATTAAAATCCTTCCGAACATGATTAAAAAGTGAGATATCGAAATAAAAAAAATGCATTTTATAGAGAAGAAACTCTCTATAAGAATTTGTCTAATTTAAAATCATGAGGAAAATGATTATTTTTTAAAACTAATATTATATATAATATAGGATATATTAATAATAATAAGTATACAATTTTTGGTGTGCATAAGATCCAAAGTATATTTTAATTACATGTCTTCAATCACTTACCTTGTGTTTGCGAGATTCTCTGCTGATGTCCGGGAAATGATGGATTCGTAGGATAACTCACGTTTACCGTATTCGTGAGAGTCACCACTCCCACTGCCCCGTCAGGGGACAATAATTTCGTCCCCGGTGGCATCGGCCGACCCATCGCCGCTGCCTGTTGCACGTGCTGATGCATCTGTTGCTGCATCACCTGAATGGCCTGCGACGTCGCCTGCGTCGACGTTATCGTCGGCACGTTGGAATTTTCCGTCAAAGTCAAACTGGTGCTCGTCGCGCAGGAATCGCCGGTGGGTATCTCGGCGGACGGAGCGGCAATTTCCGGTTTCTGATCCTCATCTTTGGTCTCCTTCTTCTGCTTCTCGTCCTTGGGCTCGACTTCGACCTGCTCGAGATCTATATCAAGAATGTTGGTCTTTTCCCCGCCCGTAATCGTGCCTAACTCGGGATCAGCGTATTCCAGGATGTTGAAGTCCGCTCCCATTTCAGCTTCAAAATAAACAAAATAATTAATTTCCATTTTTTACTCATTTCAATTCAGTTTTTATTAATTCAATATTTTTAAACTTTGCTACGATTTATTTATACAATTTCATACAGAATGTCAATTTTAATCTTTCTTATTTGAAGGGGGACAAAAAATGGCACCACAGACTTTTCCCCGAAGGACGCCTTTTCAAGGTTATTTGAAGGTCATTTATGTTTTTTTTTTTTATGGAACAATTATAATTTTTTTTTTTGTATAAATCAATTCCTCGCAATTTTTGACATAAAGATATAAATGTAAAATAGTAAAAATAAATAGTTTACGAGATATTTTATATACTTTAATTTGACACTAAAATATGTAAACTATTACATATATATATATCTCATAAAATATTCATTTTTCGATAATCTTACCTCAATACTTTCATGTATAAATAATAAAAGAAATAAATCAATGTAAAAAAAAACAGTTATTTTCAAGAAAAAATATACAGCTGCTAATTGCATAATTATATACATTTTCGACGATTAAAAATAAAAAGTTTGTATTTTTGAATGGAGGATCAATTAAAATGATACACCCTGTATAAGATTTTTCATTTGCTACATAACATACGACTTACCAAGCAGTTCGTCGTCGTCGTCTGCCAAATCTCCTAATATTGCACTGACGCCCTCGACCTCAACCATCGGTCCGGCGCCTTCCTGCTCTAGCTTCTCCAGCTCGGCCGTGACGTTATCGGGGATCTCGGACGCCTCTGAAGTAGTCGCTACTCCTGGGGTGTCGCTCATTGTTGTAGGAATAGAGGTGCGCGGACCGGGACTGTATTCAACATGCGAATACTTTGATTCAAATTGTCCGGCGTCGTCCGCACAATCCGTTGATTCAAATTCTGCGCTTGATTTGCGTCTAAACAATTTTTTTAGTTTGTTAAAATATTATTTAAAATATCATAATTAATAATTCAAATATTGAAATATTAAAATTTAAATATTTCAACATATCAGATTACAAATTATAAAACGCTAAAACTAATCTAATAAAAAAATATTACAACTTAAAATCGCCAAAACTTTCATCAAAAGTGTCTTCACATTTAATATTATTAAATTTATAAAACTTATAAAAATATTGTAAGAAATACTATGCTAGTTTATAGACTTTGAATTTGGAATGTAAAAATCCTGAGTTTTTGTCTTAGAAATCATTTACTTAATCTAAAATGAAATAAAAGAGTGATAAATATAAAATGTGTGTCTAAATCTTGTAAAATAGCTACATTTTTTAACGTGTTAGAAAAATATTTTTCCTCTGAAAATTCCCTTAATTTACCTGTAAATTGTCTCTGCTGTTGCTGTAAAATATCATAGGGCTCGGGAATGGCATTTCTCACGATTGGCATTCGCGTTTGCAGGTTTTGAGTTCCTTGAAAATGCTGTTGCGATATATTGGTGGGTACTTGGGGCCTATTTTGCAGCAACATTTTCGAACGATGGTCGATCGAACTCTGAATATTTGCTGCTACAGGATGTCTTGGGCTTATTCCTGGATTCGAATAAAGTTTCATATAAAAATCAAATTGACTATATTGAAAAATTAATAATAAAATTAACTTTTTTAAAATCATTTCTACATAGGATATACAAATAGTATATAAGAATAAAATATCGCAAACTCTGTTATTACCAATGGAATTCCTGATTAAAACGTTCGGCTGAATGGGCAATCTGGGCCTGATGATGCCTGGCGGAAGCGGATGTCTGAATGTGCCTTCACTAGTATTGCTCGGTATTTGAGGATGTTGCTGAAGCGGCACATGACTTGCCTCAAAGTGTTGGTTGTTCTCTGTATTATTCTGTCCATCTAAAAATTTTGTTTTAATTAAATTTGAAACTGACTTATACACAGTAGGAAAATTTGTTTTCTTGTTAAAAACGGTTCTCGTTTGGTGTTAAATATTTAACACATTCATGTGTTAATTCAACATATTGCTGTTATGTTAATTGAACTTAAATGTTAAATTATTAAAAAGAAAAATAAAAATAAAGAAAGATGTAAAAATAACATAATATGCATCTATTTTTAATTTTACACAATAAATCAACTTGTGTAAAGAAAACACATAGTTGCTTTAAAAAAGATGTATGTAATATCCCATATACTTTTTTTTAAAAGCATTTTATGTCAAAAATTGTTAGCTTCAAACCTTTATAACTCGAAAAGTACTTAATAGAAAAACGTTTTATTATAGTGTTTTGGAATGCTCTCGAGATAAGCTACAGAAATATAGAATAGAAAATAAGGATTCCATTAAAAAATTAAGTTGACCTTGAAATGACCTCTAAATTTGACCCCTAGATCAAAATCAAGGCCACTATCAAGTGCCTTATTTTGAGCGCTACAACTTATTTAACATTTTTTTATAAAATCACTATTTTCGGAGATAATTGACCGTTGCTGGACTTTTGAACCACCCTGTATATATTAAGACTAAATACCTTGGCTCCAATTACCGGTACCAACTCCCTCGATTTTCTTGGTGAACTGTTGCCTCTGCAGCAGATCCCTCAGCTGTCTATTAACCTCCGGTCCCTGCTGTCCGAAGGTCACCTCTTGCTCCTGAGGCGTACGAGGCTCGGAACTCCTTGGCGACGGGTAGCCGGACGCCGGAGAAGCAGACGTGGGAGTGGCAGGCGGTTGGCTGTAAGGATCGGGAGTGCGCGAGGTTGCGGGAGAAGGTGGCGGGGGAGCGTAAACGGGGGGTCGCGGCGGATTGAACACCGAGGCGCGAGGTGTACCTGGGGTCTGGGGCGACGAGTAGGGAGACGCGGGAGTCGAGCCGACGTTGCCCTCGAACTGCCGCTGGAAATGGGGCTCCTGAGAAGGCTGAGAGGACGCGGGAGACTGAGGGAAATCGTGGGGCGACTGCGGCGCCTGCGGCGAGAACGGGGACGGCGGCTGGGGAAACCCCGGACGCACCCCACGGCAAGGAGTCTGCGCCCCCGGGAGCCGTACCATGGACTGGTGATGAGGAGACTGAGGCGTGAGGCCGCGCGGAGCCTTCAGCGAGGGCGTCGCGAAAGTGCTGCGCGAACCTGGGGATGGTGAGGCTAGAGAGGTCAGCTGACTCGTGTCCTGCAACAAGATTTTAGGGTGTTGTCATATTGATTGATTGGCAAATAACATTAGTTTACAAAAAATAAAATAATAATAATAAAAATAAAATAATAAGAAAATTAGTTAACAAATTTTTTTTTCAAAGATGATATTTAGAACCAAACTTTTCCAGATTTTTAGATGATTTTAGAATTTAGAATTTTTTTTTTCCATATAAAAAGTAGTTTTCTTTAAGGCTCCTGAATTGTCGCCGCAGCCATATTTAACTGTGACGTCAGAGGCGAGAAATGTTACGCTAAGAATTCTTGCGTGGCATTTCTAAATAAAAAAATATTCGACTAAAACTACACTTTAGTTTGATTTAGTACACTCCTAAAAGACTTCGAAAACAATCTTTTCCTCTTGGCAACTAATAAATAGTTCTAAAATAAACGTCACAGTTAGCCTCATTATGCAGGAAAATACACGGTTTGACACTACCGAAAGAAGTGGAAATGTTCTTTCCACGATTAGAATTCCTCACTAATCTTAGTTTTCGAAGTCTTTTATGGGTTTCACATATACACCACACGTCATAAAACTAGCGTAAAACGAATAATAACGAAATGCCACGCAAGAATCTTTCGGGCTGTCATTTCTCGCTTAGAGAAAGAGACAGAACTATAATCCGCCTGATGTTGCTACCGTCGAAATTCGGAGTTCCACGGCAAGTATCCAGGAGCCTTAATCTTTCATAACATAGTAACAAATAAAATGTTAAAATAATATAAAAAATACATTTTACACAAAATCCCAAATATCACAAAAAAGCCATTTTTTACACATTAAATCCCAATTATTTTAAAAAGCTGATTAAATAGATTATGATACTTACTTGTGCCGTGGAAACTTGTAATTGTGTTGTCAGTCCAGAAGCAATATCACCGCTCAGTTGGGGTGTGTTTTCTTCGCTGATCTGTCTTTGTACTCTGGCAATCGCTTTTAACAAAAGAGAAAAGATATAAAAATTTTAGAACTCAATAAAAAATTTTTTTTTTACATAAATGATAACTCAATAACAATATTTCAAATTAAAGCGAAAAATTTATCAATTTACTTATTTTTCAATGAATTAATAAATTAATTTTTGTGTTTTTATTCATAAAAAAATCGCAATAAAATCATATAAAATTTAAAAAAAATTTCTTTGTTTACTTGAATTTAATTTAATTTTTTTTAAGTTTTTACGTAGGATAATTTTCTCATGATGAAAAAATAATTAAGCTGTATAAAATTTTATACCAGATGTACCGTGCACACGTTGCTCAATGATAACTTGCTGCTGCATTTGAGCTTGATGCTGACGTAAAGCTTGCAGTTGTTTCCACTGTCTCTCTTGCTCAGCTTCTCTGCTAGACCGATCTCTGTTCGAAAGTCTGTCCTGTTCCTATCAAAAATCAATTCAATATAAAAATTTATTATTTTTAACATAGCCTTTCCTTACTATAACAATACTTTTTATTAGAACTACTATTAAAAAAATTGTTAATTTTATTAGATTTTTATTTAATCTCTTATTAAATTTTTATTTAATTACAATAAATTTGATCAAACAGTATTATTTTTGTTAAATATTAATTGCATTTACAAATTTAATTAAAATTTAATAAACACATATTCAAGAAAGATTTTTAAAAACATTGTTACAATTTATAATTTTATTTACATTTATACAGAGTGAGTCATTTTAATCAACGTCCGTAAATATCTCGTATAGTAAGCAAGATGGAAAAATGTATCAAACAAAAGTTTTTTGACTATGAGGGAGATATAAGATGATGTCATTGATTTAAACTGAACATTTTACAAGATATTTTACATTTTAAGCCAAAAAATTGTAAAAAAAAACTTCAAACTTTTATAATTTGAAAAGTACTTCATCAAACACACATTATTATAGGATTTTGGAAAGCTCTTTAGATAAACTATAAGAATATGTAATGAAAAATAGCAGGTTCCATTTAAGAAATTGAAGGTGACCTTTACGTGACCTTTAAATGATTATACAAGGACAAAAAAATAACACCATTTTATGTTCCCCTTATAGTAAAAAAACTTTTGTTCGAAACATTTTTTTCCATCTTACGAGATATTTACGTGCGTGTGATTATTAAAATGGCTCACCCTGTATATGATATATAACTTCATATAAATGTTTAATTAAATAATATTTTAATTATAAATAAATCAAATAATCCTAGAATATAATAATCTTTTTCTTTTACGTAACAAACACTATTAAAATTTTACAATAAGAAATGTTTATGTTTATATATGTAATCCGCCAAAAATAAAAAAATAAAAGAATTTTGGAAACAATTAACACAAAAATATTTACATATACTTATTCTTTGTGATCTCATAATTTCCATTGTACATATAAATCCCAAAATCATCGAATGTTCTTATAATAGATGTTTTTTAACAAAAATATCGTGTGTTTTAATAAATTTTCCATCTTTATGTCTTTTACAAGTGTAAACTTTAAATTAAAAGTCTAATAAAATAAAATTTCACCTGAAATTAATTGAAAAATATAGTTTACTCTATAAAGTTCACTTTGCGAAAAACCTATCTTTTTAAAAATTTTATAACTCAAAAATTGCTCCTAATATTTTTAATAAGGAAAAATTATTTTCAAATTAATCAAAGAATTTGCCATTAAAAGAACAGATCTGATGATTTTAAGACATACTATAAAAAAACAAACGTAATTTTTTCTCTTCATCGATATTTTATAAAGTTTGTATAAATATTTTTAAATAATAAGATTGGCTCGCTGCTAAATTGATACGATTTTTTATAATCTCATGTATATGTGTGTGTGTATGTGTGTGTGTGTGTGGTGTGTGTGCAAAAACACTAAAAGCAATTATAATCTGTCACCATCGATTAATTGAAGAAATTAATTTATAATATATATATTAGAGTATAAAATTATATAACAGTATGTAAATATATATACATACATACATACTTACCTTATATACATACACACATACATTCTACATACAGACATATATACAAATAAATTCATTCAAAGAAAATTTTTATCCATCCACGAAAAACATAAAAAACACCAATAATCTCATCCAAAAATTAACAAAACAATTTCACATCCATGCACATGTCAGTGTTAATAATTCCAACTATCTAATCCATTACAGTAACACAAAATACAATAATAACTATACATACACACAAACACGTATGTTAAATATTATACAATGTAGTATTAGTTAATTAAATAAAAAGACATAAGATATATAAGATATTTTTTCGACAGAGAAAGTAGAAAGAAATCGTATCTCTATTTGTTTAATAATTTATATCATTTATTTTATTTGTATTTGTTTTTATATCTCGTTTTCTTCATATTAATTTATACGATATAATTTGCACGATTTTTCACTGACGATTTAATTTAAAACAAATGTGTCAGAAAGAGAGAGAAGATTTTGAATTATATATAAAATAATAAAATTATATTATATATGTAATATAATAATTATATAATATTATATTATATTAGATTATAATATAACATAATATATGTTATATATTATATTATATTATATTATTATATTATATAATATATTTTAGATTATATTATATATTATACTATAATATTATTATAATAATATAATAATATATAATTATTATAATTATATATTTGTAGGGAAAGAGTCTCGAGGAATCTAAAGTAATAAATTAGTAACTAAACACTATTGCATACAAAACAATTATACAACAATATATACTCCGATATATTGATCTATCACCCAAAACGACAGCACAAATATCGCAAGCAATATCGGATTGGATTTAAGGGATTTAAGCAATGATGATACTTCATAATTTAGGATTCGTAAGGAGAAAAGAGGATAAAAATTAACGGGATTGAATCCAAATGTACTCTTCTACCAATCATAAACATGCATTGAAACATCTAGATTGTAATTCAAAATAAAATACTCTCTGTCTCATAGCAATAATCTAACAAACAAGTTTAATATTTTATATTTAAATGAAAGAAATTAACAGAGAGGTAACAATGTATAGAGGGACAAAACCTATTTAATTATCCTAACAACGTATAATTTATATTGAAAAATTAAAAATTGTATCTACATCAGTAGAAATTATCTAAAAAATTGATACGTATCTAACTGTTCGTAAAGCAAACATAAAATATATATATAATGTAATTCTTACAGTGTCCAATTTTAATCGACCATCCCTAAAAATTTTTTTATTGAATAACAAAATGTTTCAAATGAAATTTGTTTGATTTGAAGATGGTACTACTGACTTTTTCGTAAAGGGCAATTTTCAAAGTCATTTAAAAGTCATTTGTTTTCTTTTAAATTACTATTTTAATTTTTTATAGAAATTAATTCTTCGTAATATTCACTATAAAAAGTTGAGTAAAATAGTAAAAAAAATAAATAGTTTACGAGATATTTAAGATATTTTATACTTTAATTTGACATTTAAAGTACATAAACTATGGAATATCTCGTAAAATAT